CTGATGGTCTTTAAAAGTGTGGGCGCTCTTCCCATTTGCCCGATACGCCTAAGGGCGGGGAAAGGGATCTTTACCTTTTTACTTTATTAACTGGTGCCTTCGCAGTATAGAGGGAATTAAATCGTATGATAGGATCAGTAATGTAGAGCTTTGGGCGAGAGCAAAACAAGTTGCAATAAATCAAGAGGTGAGGACAAGATGCCGAAGTTGGATTGGACAGGACACAAGTTAAGTAAACCGTAGAACAGTATAACTAGAAAAGCTTTATCTGGAACCCACAAGGGCATAAATGAAAAGGTAGAGCAAAAACACACGGGGAAGGGAGTTAGAGAGTGGAGTTTAAAAGATGGGGAGGACAGAGGGAGAGCTGCCTGCGATAGCGAAGGATAGAATGACTTGGCTGAGTTGGTTGAGGGCCTATGCTCCATTGGGTGCTAAATGGAGGAAGAAGATCTATCTATCTATCTATCTATCTATCTATCTATCTATCTATCTATCTATCTATCTATCTATCTATCTATCTATCTATCTGTCTGTCTGTCTGTCTGTCTGTCTGTCTGTCTGTCTGTCTGTCTGTCTGTCTGTCTGTCTGTCTGTCTGTCTGTCTGTCTGTCTGTCTGTCTGCCTGTCTGTCTGCCTGTCTGTGCCTGTCTGTCTGTCTGTCTATCTATTTATCTGTATGTCTTGTCTATGCGTCTCTCTGTCTGTCTGTCAATATGTCTATCAATCTGTCTGTTGCTCTTCCAGTTGAGCTCTGGAACCCATTCACCAGACCCGGGTATTGTTATTTTTATTTCTCTGGGTGTCTGTCTGTCTTTCTGTGTGTCTCTCACATTGACAGCCGCGGAAATTATCCACAGAACTAATTCTGTCTGAGAGCAAACCAAACACAAGACGCCTAGACCCGGCGCTTTGATGTTCTGGCCAGGCTCTCGATGGATGTGACAGCCAAACGCAGACGTGCCGCTGATTGACAAATCTCTAGGACCCCTGCCAACTGGCAATCCGACTAAAGAAGCCCTGACACTTTCAATCCTCATTCGGCTGGATTTTCTTTCATTCTGGGCCCTACTTGCAGCTCTGATGGGGGTTATTAGCTTCTGGGAGGTTCTTTACTAGCAATTTAGCCCCCACAACACCCGTCACCCCTTCTCCCTGTCTCTCTCTCGTCCCCTTATCTCTCTCTCGCTTCCCCCACCCCCCCCCCACCCCCTTGTCTCTCTCCTTCTCTCATTTATTTCTGTGCGTATGTTTTAATGTTTCTTTTTATTTTGGTGTATTTGCGCGTGCCTGCGTGTGTCTCCTCTTTTGTGTCTATCTTGTTTCGGACTTTCAACCTGTTCTCTCTCCTCTCCCCCCCCCCCTCTCTCTCTCTCTCTCTCTCTCTCTCTCTCTCTCTCTCTCTCTCTCTCTCTCTCTCTCTCTCTCTCTCTCTCTCTCTGACCATCTCTAGCTTTCTCCCTCTCTGTGTCTGTGCCTGTGTGCTTCTCTTTCTGTCTCTGTGTCTCTTTCTTCTATAAACTGTCACTTTATCTGATTGTCCGCTCTCCTTCCCCTTTGTCTCTCTCTCTCTCTATCTATCTCTCCACACGATCCATAAAATGCTTAGCAACCCTGCCGAGTCGTGAGATAGACTGAGCCACCGTCAATGTAGCCGGAGCGTTGTCATGTCGATTTCTAAATTAACCACTAACCATTAATCAGTTTAGTCAGACCGAATTGTTGTGCCTAATCCCTCCCTTCCACCCAGCACCCTCAGCCCGTCTCCAATAGAATCACGGCCAGACTAACGACCTCTGGGGAGAATTCGTTATCGAAAACAGCTCAATCATCAAACGGTAGAATGGATGTTGCCAGTGTGCCATTGTTGGCTTCCTCAGCTCCAACTGATCATCCATTGACGTTAGTACACGACCGTTAAAAATCCTGATTAGACCTCTAACCTATGACCTCAACCTCTGACCTGAGCTTTCTGTGACTGCTGGGTATTTTTAACGGGGTTATTTATTAAGGTTAGTGGTGCTGGGTGTCAGGTTGTGGTCAGTTATGACTGAGCTGTCTTTAACTTGAGATGGCCGTAATATCCTGAGCTAGGTCCTGTTCACGTTTCCCGGCCCATCTACAAACTGGCTGACCTTTCGTTCATACTTTCTCAGATCATTCCAAGTCGGAGGGATGTCACGTTGTCTTGCCTCCAATTACATCAGCGCCGATGTCGCGTGTTCTATACTGCACGATGACACAGCTTTTAACTATCCCAGAATATCTAGAACTGACCCTAACCCAACTACGATACTCTTTTCGAAGCAGAACCAGCCCCAGCATTTTTAGCTGTTGTAGTTTTTCTAGGCGCGCTTACGTTCAGTAGTTTGTCATTGCTTTCTGGCCGATGGGCTTTTCGATACCATTGTCGAAACCAGTGCAAGGCTCGCAGCTGTGGTCGAACCCGGCACCCCAGCATTACTAAGCGCCCTTGCAACGCCTAAGCCACAGACAATAGGCGGCTTCTGTAAGAATAGGATTGGCCCAAAGTATCCTGGTCATCTGCGTGACCATCACATCCCTGGCTGTGATCTACCAGACATCTCCAGATATAGAAAGTCTTGTTTCGTCCCTTGTCCAGCTCCGCTTTTTATTTCTCCTTCCCGGTTGAAATCTCCATTGCTCAGAAAGGGACACAATCGCCTTTATGTCTAGGGCCAGCAACTCGTTAATTCCTCTAGGGACCTTCCATGGCGAGATGTGAATGAGACGAGGAGGCAGCGGGAGCGAGCACAGAGAAACAGGGCCCGGAAGTTCCTCTGTGAATCATGAAGACCGCACCAAAAGAGACAGTCTGCGACTTGTCTGATTTCCGTTTTGACGGGCCGGTAAATTTGCATTCTGAGTCGGGATGAAAGTCGGGGGAGGGGGTAATCATTAATTATCATCATCCATTTATCATCAGGTGCCTTGTCGACTGACGTGGGCGATCATGCCTCTCCACAATCTACGATCTCCTGCAGCATGTATCAGTTCGTTTATTGACACACTTCCATGCCATGCACCAAGACTGTCAAGAATCTTCTCTCGTTGTCTTCCTCTATCCCTCCTTCCACATATCTTTCCAGTGGTCACAACATGTTCTAATTTCCCTTTTCTCATAACATGGCCGAAAAATGATGACTGTCTTCTTCTGATGTCTGTGATAAGTTGCCTTCGGGCTCCCGCCTCTTTCAAAACCTCTTGCTTGCTTTTTTTTGGCTGTCCAAGGTATTCTAATCATTCTTCTGAAAAACCACATCTCTGAGGCCTCAATAAATTGTTTGGCCTGCCTACCGATTGTCCAGGATTCACAGCCAAATATTAAAACTAGATGTATGTAGCAAGCAAGAATTCTCTTTCTAACCTTCGATGACAGAGATATATTGCATAAGATGTTCTTCATTTTGTGGACATGTCCGGAGTTCAGTGATGATAACCCAACTTAATAACTAACCACGGCCATCTTTAGATATAAATTACCTGTTTGTATTATCCCTAAAAGTAAGATTTCTACATTTAAAGTAGAAAAGTAATAAACAGCCAGTTCCCAAAAATCCGAACTTCTGAATAGAAACAGTGACACTGACACACACATCACAACACGACTGTCTCCCGTGAATTACAATTAAAATTGCTGTAATCTAACAGCTTGTATGTCCACATTACAATATCCGCTTGTCGATTTGTAATACGAATACGTTTAGAACACAGGACTTTGTAAGCATATTAATATGTCACACATTGCAACATGGAAACGCTCCCTGTAACCTAATTTCGAGGGGGACCCCTCCAAAATGTACCGTGATTCAGTTGTAAGGACTGAATAATTAGAGAAGGGCGTGAACTAACTAACTAACTTTTGGTGTTTATTCTCAGGTTCGGGCGGAGACCCAGTATGGCTGGGGAGAATTCAGTGATGCCCTGATTATTCAGACCGGACACCACGGATGTAAGTTATTCTCTGTGATCTTTGGTCATTACACGCTATTTTGTCCTTGGTCAGCTAGTTGTTGACAATGAAGGGCTGCGTAACCTTCGCCAAATGCCCCATTCTAGATAAATAGCTGGATCGGGGTGAGATAAGAGCATTGACTTGATGCGTGATTCTGGTGATCGTGTGAGTTGTCGAAACATGACAGCCTACATTTATCAACGACTCTCATAATGATGATATAACTAGTGTGTCTTTGATCAGGAAAATCAAAGGGACGTGGAAAATGAAGGCAAACAACAACAAACAAACACACGGAGATGGGAGCTAGAGAGTGAAGATATAAACATGGGGGAGGACATCGAGTGAGATGAATGCGATAGCAAAGGATATAAGGTCTTGGTCCAGGGTCTTTGCTTCATTGAGGGAATATGGTGCAGAAGAAGAAGAAGAAAATAAAAGAAAGAAGAAGAAGAAGAAGGAGAAGAAAAAGAAGAACAAGAAGAACAAGAAGAGGAAGAAGAAAAAGAAGAACAAGAAGGAAAAGAAGAAGAGGAAAAAGAAGAAGAAAAAGATCATGAAGAAGAAGAAGAAGAAGAAGAAGAAGAGGAAGAAGAAGAAGAAGAAAATAAAAGATGAAGAAAAAGATAAAGAAGAAGGAGAAGAAGAAAATAAAAGAAGAAAAAGAAGAAGAAAATGATAATGAAGAAGAAGAAAGCATGATGATGATGAGAATCAGGAAACACACACCACACAAGTCTATTCACCTTCTGTGCGGTGAGATTCTTGTACTCTGGTTATAAGTTGTATTGCCTTCATGAGTCAATCAGCACCAAGTCTCCAAGGATTCCCCATAGCTTGTATTGAATGCCTCTTCCTTCTGCCCGTGTGTTGTCACGCAGGTTTCGCTGCAGGGGGCAGTTCTGCAGTATATGCTCAGGTGTCTGGAGTACGGTTTGGTAGGTATACTGGGCGAATTGTGCAGCCTGTATTCTATCTCTTGTTGATCTGGTGACCATGATGTGTTTTCATTTCTGTGTTTCAGCGACTATTGTTAACGTCAGAAGGGTCAGTATTGGCCCCAAACATATCACTATCGCCTGGGACGTCCCACGGAGCATCAAGGTGGGTCTGCTGGACTCTCTGAGCCGTCTGTCTGTCTTGCTCGTCCTGTCCGCCTGTCTCTATTGTCTGCCTATCTACTGGCTGTCCTTTTTTGTCTTGTTTTTACACCCTGATGCCCCACTTTTGACATGCGCCAAAGAGGAGCAGTGTTCTACTGTCCGCTGTCGTTGTTGGGGTTTGGTCAGTGAAGGGATGGAACCTCTAGAAATGCATCAGCGAATGGTGGTCCTCTATGATGATGCATGTCTGTCGGTCCAGCCAGTGAATGAGTGGGGTAGGAAGTTTCACAATGTCCTGACTTCTTTGACAGGAACTGTTTGTGGTAGTGGTGGTTGTAGTAGTGATGGTGGTGGTTGAGCTAGTGTGGATAGGGCAGCAGTAGCAGTGGTGGTGGTGGTTGAGCTAGTGTTCACAGTGCAGCAGTAGCAGTGGTGGTGGTGGTGGTTGAGCTAGTGTTCACAGTGCAGCAGTAGCAGTGGTGGTGGTGGTTAAGCTAGTGTTGACAGTGCAGCTGTAGTAGTGGTGGTGGTGGTGGTTGAGCTAGTGTTCACAGTGCAGCTGTAGTAGTGGTGGTGGTGGTGGTTGAGCTAGTGTTCACAGTGCAGCAGTAGCAGTGGTGGTGGTGGTGGTTGAGCTAGTGTTCACAGTGCAGCTGTAGCAGTGGTGGTGGTGGTTGAGCTAGTGTTCACAGTGCAGCAGTAGCAGTGGTGGTGGTGGTGGTTGAGCTAGTGTTCACAGTGCAGCTGTAGCAGTGGTGGTGGTGGTGGTTGAGCTAGTGTTCACAGTGCAGCAGTAGCAGTGGTGGTGGTGGTTAAGCTAGTGTTGACAGTGCAGCTGTAGTAGTGGTGGTGGTGGTTGTAGTAGTGTTGGTGGTGAGTGCTAGTGAGTCAGGCACACGAAGTAGCCATCCCAGACTGGATTGCTACCGTTGAAGGCTTCAAAATGAAAAAAAACTACTGATTGACTGAGTGACATTGTAGAACATCTTGACAACCGTCAGGGTTCAGCACAACACATCATCCATGATGGGCTACAGTACCTCAGTGTCTGCTCCTCTTTGGTGCATGTCAAAAGTAGGGCGGCCATCTTTAAACTGTTATTATCACATCCTCATGTCTTTTTTTTTTGCACTGTGATGTCACACGCTTAACACTCTTGACATCCTTAACAACAGTATTTCTTGATTTCAAGACAGTGGCATTGTTATTTAAATTTCTGTTACAGTTATAATTTTTTTTAAGCTCCCTCATTGGTACATTGATACATACACCTACACACAAGCGTACGTATACACACACGCACATACATGTTAGTACTACACATAGGTACATATGTACGTATTTACAGAGAGACAATGAGAAAGCGGGAGAGAGAATGGGAGAGTGTTCTGCATCGTCTATCCTATTCAAAGGTTGATTACTGAACTCAAGAGCGTTTCGGAGAGAGAATTTCCCTAACACAGTCGCTCTCAACCTTCCTAATGCGGCAACCCTTTAGTACAGTTCCTCATGTTGTGGTGACCCCCCAACCATACAATTGTTTTCGTTGCTGTTTCATAACATCAGTGAATATGTGTTTTCCGATGGACTTTGACGACCCATAGGGTTAGATCCGCTGGTCTAACACACATTCTGTCCGGTTACCCGCTTATCTCCCCCTACCCTATCAGTCTGGACAATTGTCGCCCGGGACATAACTCAAATTCAAACCACCCCTCCGTATAACGCCTCAACGGGCCAGCATATATTATTGTTATGATTATTTCTTATTTGTTTATATTTACGGGAGGTCCTGACGGCGGAGATGGCACTTGCTAGCCCGTTCTTTCATCTGTCAACGGCTGGACAGCTTTGTTGATTTTATCCATAAGTTATTACCTTTGTCAATATTTATGGGATTCCCAATATAGTTATTTCCCCTTATCTGCAAGGACGGAACGACATGTCGGTCTCTCAAGGGAAAGGGGCTTGTAGATTTCTGGAGCCAGGGTATAAAATATTGCCCAGTGTAGTTCGAAGAATATATCGTCAGGGGGGAAAATGTCTGTGTAGTTATGGTCAGTGAAACGGGTTACCATCATTAAGTATTGTTGTGTAATGTTCGTGTGATGAAAAAAGGCGTTGGAAAACATTGTGATGACTGGAACCATCCGTTGGAGAAGAAGCAGGGATAGACCAGGAGAGACGATGCTTGACAACCTAAAGCGATGGCATGTCACTAGTAGAATTGATTCACTAGAGATAGTGATGGGGGTTCTGTGTAGTTTTAGTTGGTTCAGGAACGGAGCAACTATGGTGGTTGGGGGGACCATTGGTAAAGAAGTTGAAACTATGATTACCACCTGTTATTCTACCTAAGAGCACGCAAGTTCCCTCTAGCAATATAAGGAAGTGAGTTTGGACTGTCTCCCAGTCCTTAATTCTTGCAGTCCTAAGTAACACTTGGTATATATGTTAGCTCTACCCCAACAGGACATCACACAAGCGATAAACACCCGGTGACACAAAGTGCCGCTATGCGGATCAGGATCACCCGTGGAGAGATCCCGGAAACCCTGTTCAACCTTTAGGCAATATTTAGGACCCTGCTATATTTAGGGCCCCCAACAAAAGCCATGGTGAGGCTTCAAAATAACCAAAAATTGCATCCAACTGGGGAATGAGGTTGAATAAACACTTGGTGTGTATGTGGCTCTACCCATTTACTTCCCTCCATAGCATAATGTGGTCTCTTAATTTTAAACTTTAGTCAGAACATACTAGAAAAATCTGGCTACCTCAGTGGTAATTATCACTGTTTATATTGCCTGTCTGAAAGGAATACATTCATGAGTTACCCCCATGGTTATTTCTCTGCTTTGACATCTCATGTGAAACCTCCTGGTACTGAAGGAGTTACGAAAGAAAGTAGGGGCTTTTTGAACTGAAATGCTATAGAAAGATTCTCAGAATACTTTGGACAAAAGTTAGTTGCGTATCCTGTACGGGATATTGCATGTGTTGGCTGCTGTGGTTTTTGTAGGCAAATTTCTGTCTAGTAGTTTGCCATTGCTTTCTGGACGGTCCCGAAAAATTTAATTGATGATTTTATAACGACAGACACTTGTTTTCTACTCCACAGAACTCTATTCTAAAGTTTGAGGTCAAGTATTACCCGAGATCGCACGGTCAGAACGAGATCCGCGAGTACACCAACATCCAGAACTTGACCATCACTGAGTTTATGCTGGACACGGAGTATGAGTTCCAGGTGGGTTGGCCATCATCACTGCAGCAATATCATTATCATCATCCTCATCAGCATCCTTCTCATTATCATCCTCCTGATCATCATCATTAACCTCATCATTATCCTCATCATCCTCATCATTGGCATTCTCATCATCATTCACATTATCATCATTCTCATCATCCCCCTTATCATTCTCATCATCATCATCCTCATCAGAATGCTCATCATTGTCCTCATCATTCTCAAAATCATCATCCTCATCATTATCATCATCATCCTCATCATCATCCTCATTCTCACCATCATCCTCATCATCATCCTCATTCTCACCATCATCATCCTCATTTTCACCATCATCATCATCCTCATCATCATCATCATCATCATTCTCACCATCATCCTCATCATCATCATTATCCTCATTCTCACCATCATCATCATTTTACCATCATCCTCATCATTTTTATCATCCTCCTCATCATCATCATCCTCATTCTCATCATCATCCTCATTCTCATCATCATCCTCATCATCATCATCATCATCCTCATTCTCATCATCATCATTCTCATCATCATTCTCATTCTCATCATCATCCTCATCATCCTCATCATCATCATTTGCATCATAAGCAGGAACACCATCATCATCTTATACAGTACCATTGTCAACACCACCTTCTTTATCATCATCTCAAGCAGCAACAGCTTTAATAGAGGACTTTGGTGGCAGTGAATCCACATCACTCGCCAGAATGGCAGACTTGGGAATTAAGATCGGCACAGCAAAAAACGAGACGCACACCAGCTACGCCAGAAGACTTGTTAATCAACATAGAACTGGTACTATTAGCCATCGGACGTTGGGGTTCATACTGAGGGGAGGATCTGAGCACCTATGGACATGTCCGGAGTGCAATGAGGATAACCCAACTAACTAACTAACTAACTAACTAACTAGCAACAGCTTTATCAACAGCAGCAGCTTTATCAACAGCAGCAGCTTTATCAACAGCAGCAGCTTTATCAACAGCAACAGCTTTATCAGCAGCAGCAGCTTTATCAACAGCAACAGCTTTATCAACAGCAACAGCTTTATCAACAGCAACAGCTTTATCAACAGCAACAGCTTTATCAACAGCAACAGCTTCTGTGTGGTTCTTGTGTCCTTTTGCTCACACTGTGAAGCATGGCAGAGAGGAGTTTGATGTAGCTACCTGTCTTCTGCTTGTAGTTTAGGTTGTGTTCATGAATCTTTGACTTCTTCAGCCCATCTCTCTCTTGGTGGGTCTCTTGCTTTCATTAGCAGCGTTGGCATAACCACCTTCTGCCAGGAATTTACTCTCATCAGTCCATCCTTTCCTTTGGCACCGGCTTGCTGTCACTTCAGATCTGGTCCCTGTGATCTCGCAAAGTGTGGTGGTGAGAATTGTTATGGCTTCCCCTGCCCCTCCCCCAGTCACACCTTACTGAGGAATTAAACACATCTCTTATGTCCATGTGTGATGTTTGTCTCTATGTGTGCTGTTTGTCCCTATATATGCTGTTTGTCCCTATGTGTGCTATTTGTCCCTATGTGTACTGTTTGTCCCTATGTCTGCTGTTTGTCCCTATATGTGCTGTTTGTCCCTATATGTGCTGTTTGTCTCTATGTGTGCTGTTTGTCTCTATGTGTGCTGTTTGTTCCCATGTGTAATGTTTGTCCTTATGTCTGCTGTTTGTCCCTATGTGTGCTGTTTGTCCCTATGTGTACTGTTTGTCCCTATGTCTGCTGTTTGTCCCTATGTGTGCTGTTTGTCCCTATTTATACTGTTTGTCCCTATGTGTGCTGTTTGTCCCTATGTCTGCTGTTTGTCCCTATGTGTGCTGTTTGTCCCTATGTGTGCTGTTTGTCCCTATGTGTGCTGTTTGTCCTTGTGTGTGCTGTTTGTCCTTGTGTGTGCTGTTTGTCACTATGTCTGCTGTTAGTTAAGGGTTTTAAACCTTGAGATTACTACATGTTCAGTGTCTGGATGGTAGGCCACACCCCTATGTGTGTGTTCCGGAGCCACGTTTTGGAAAGAGGGAAAACAAGAATTCACCCACAGCCCCCTCCCCCGCCCCCCTCCCCCGCCTCCGCCCCCCTCCAACAGGATGTCAAGAAAAGTGACTAAGATGGGTGTTTCTTTCAATGTTAGGGAAATCTGCCTGAGAGGTAAGGAACCAACAGTCTGCATACAAAAGCCCCATGTGTAAAATGGACGTGCACACAAAACTCAGTTTCTGGAACAAGGCTAAAGTCCAGGGGTGGACAAACAAAGAGAACTTTCTGCCTGAGTGTTTACATCTGGTGAACACTAACAATAGAAAAAACAGACCAACAGGACATGTCCATTGCGGATAAGTTATAATTATTAAACTCAAAATTTCCACACCAGCATTGCGTAACCTGCAGTCGGTTAGTTCCATTATAGTCCCCCCCCCCCACCACCCCCCCCCCCCCCCCCCCCCCCCCCCCCAGAGACCGCCCATATACACACTAGCGAGATTCACAGACATATAGCAGCACTGATTCAACATTCACATTTCAAGATTCACAGATATACAGTAGCACTGATTCAACATTCACATTTCAAGATTCACAGACATAACAGCAGCACAGATTCAACATAACATTTCAAGATTCACAGACATACAGTAGCACAGATTCAACATAACATTTCAAGATTCACAGACATACAGTAGCACAGATTCAACATAACATTTCAAGATTCACCAACATACAGTAGCACAGATTCAACATAACATTTCAAGATTCACAGACATACAGTAGCACAGATTCAACATAACATTTCAAGATTCACCAACATACAGTAGCACAGATTCAACATAACATTTCAAGATTCACAGACATACAGTAGCACAGATTCAACATAACATTTCAAGATTCACCAACATACAGTAGCACAGATTCAACATAACATTTCAAGATTCACAGACATACAGTAGCACAGATTCAACATAACATTTCAAGATTCACCAACATACAGTAGCACAGATTCAACATAACATTTCAAGATTCACAGACATACAGTAGCACAGATTCAACATAACATTTCAAGATTCACAGACATACAGTAGCACAGATTCAACATAACATTTCAGTACTTTCTCTTTTGTTTAATGAGGAAGGAAGACCTGATGCATAAAATATTGTTTATCTTTTGAAATAATATTGCAAGCAGTACTTAAATTATTGCTGATTCTTCTCGTACAGGTGCGGTGTGAAACCAGTTCCGGTTGGGGGGAGTATAGTGAACCGCTGGTGGTTCAGACTGGGCAGAAAGAAGGTGAGATAATATGTGGTTATGTAAAAATTCACTAGGAAATCGTGTTGTCGCCTATATGTATGTTCTTCACATTTACGTCTTTTATTCATCAAATATTTTTTTCATTGTTCACATGTTTTTCACGTGTTCTTTAAATGTTTGTCACACATTATTCAGATATTTTTTCAGGTATTCTCCATTTGTTTTTCACAAATTATTCAATTGCTTCTCACTTATTTGTCAAATGTTTTTCATACATTATTCAAATGTATCTCACACATTATTTGAATGCTTTTCACACATTATTTAGATGTTTTTCACAGACTATTGAGATTTTTTCACATATTCTGCAAATGTTTGTCACATATTATTTTCACATACAAAATGTTTTTCACATATTTTGTTTTCTTATTTGTCCTACCACCATACATGTGATTTTTTCAAATAATTTTCACATTTATGTTTCTTTAGATGTTTCCCACATCGATCATATGGTTTTTCCCACACTTTTTTAATGTATGTTTCACACACTCTTCACGTGTTTTCACATTCTCACAATAATTTTCACGTTTTTCAAATATTTGTCACATTGATCATATAGTTTGTTTTCACACTTTCTTTCTTCACGTGTGTTTCACACACTCTTCACATGTTTTTCACATGTTTTTTTTCCGCAGCCGCCAGCACCCCAATAGGCATCATAGCTGGTTCCATCGTGGCAGTCATCCTCTGTATGGCTATTGCTACGATCATGATCATAATTTTACTGAGAAGGTATGTTGGGTTGACCATGGGTCAGTGTTGTAATGACTGAGAGTGTATGTTACGTTGACTCCCTGTGGGTTTCAGAGCCCCATTTTTGGGGGTGCAAATAGGATAGGGGGCACTAATCGGTACTTGGTGGGTGATGCTAATGTTTGTGTTTATTTGACGCATCAACATCAGGGTACATGGATGTAACACATAAGTGCACCGATCTACTTCTAACTCAAGCCTGAGTCTGAAGAAGCTCAGCACAGTGCATGAACTCCATTGCACCAGCGAGGATCCTCAAATATTTGAGGTAGATTTTAAACTTCAGATTGTGCCTGGGCACTACTCTTTTCAATTTCCAACTGCCAAGGGATTTTTAACGTGCACAACAGTACACACGGGCGTCCAATCTCACTACCCAGAGACGATGGAAAAATTGCTCGAAATCAACGGGGAAAAAATCCCAGCCTTCACCGGGGCTTGAACCTAGGACCTCCAGCACTTGAGGCGGTTGCTATACCTCAAGACCACTCAAATACTCAAATGGGGGATGGGGTTAACATCAGGCTGGCTGCCTTTACTTTTCAGAACTTTACCCTGGTGCCTATTTAAAGCTGTGTTGATCTGGAAGCCAAGGTCACTTTTTTTTAGAAAGGGTGGGGTAGGGTGGGGTGGGGGGGGGGGGGGGGGGTTAGTCAGGTCTTCAGATCTGTACCCTTGACATTCGGATCCACACTGCCCCAACAACAACAACAAATTAATTGCTTAGCTTCTACAGCAGGGTTATTCAATTGGTGGCCCTTGGGCCATATCTGGCCTGCAGAGGCTTAGCGAGTGGCCCGCGGATCACCTGCCCGTTGTATTATTGATCTTTTTCTAACGAGTCTTGAGCGTCTGGCCCATGACCGTCCCCATTTTCTTGAATTTGTGCCCGTGAATGAACTTTGTTGGATGGCACTGCTGTACAGGATGTTGCATATTGGTGTTACCTTTCCTTTCGAGTCAACAAGACCCACAGAGAGAGGGATCATGCTGCACGGGCAACCCAGAGTCCCTACAGTACAGCCCAAGCTTTGTGCTATGGAGAGGAGGAACTTCAGACAGGTCTTGCTAGTCACACTCGCCATCATCATGGGCTGCGAGTCTCATGCCTCCTCATAGCATAATATAACAGGATTCTCTGGAAAGATCCCAAAAATGCCAACAGACAATGAATACGTTTGCTTAATATAGAGCCTGTATTGTTTATATAGTTCCCGGTATGTGATTTATAATTCCTGGCGCACTCATTTCAGGAACAGACCCAGCTGCAACGAGAAGAAAGACTGTGATATATATAGCCATGGTGAGTTATGTGCCCCTGCTTATGCATTTGTCTCCCCCTTTTGTGTCTACTTTTTTCTATGTCCTTCTTTTACATCTTCATATTATCCTGATTATATTTCATGTTCTTTGCTTTTATCTCCTTCTGATCCTTTCTTCATTTGTGTCTTGTTTTCCCACTTCTTTCTGATGCTATCTGCTTTCGTGACCTCTACTTCTATTTCCTTCTTATTTCCTCTCCTTACCTGTCTTCTTCTTTAACTACTTTCTAATCCTTTCTCCTTCCATGTCCTCTGCCTCCACTTCCTTCTAATCCTGTCTCCTTCCATGTCCTCTGCCTTCACTTCCTTCTAATCCTGTCTCCTTACATGTCCCCTACCTCCACTTCCTTCTAATCCTATCTCCTTACTTGTCCTCTACCTCCACTTCCTTCTGATCCTATCTCCTTACTTGTCCTCTACCTCCACTTCCTTCTGATCCTGTCTCCTTACATGTCCTCTGCCTCCACTTCCTTCTAATCCTGTCTCCTTACTTGTCCTCTACCTCCACTTCCTTCTGATCCTGTCTCCTTACATGTCCTCTGCCTCCACGTCCTTCTAATCCCATCTCCTTACATGTCCTCTACCTCCACTTCCTTCTGATCCTGTCTCCTTACGTGTCCCCTACCTCCACTTCCTTCTAATCCTGTCTCCTTACATGTCCTCTGCCTCCACTTCCTTCTGATCCTGTCCCACATGACTTTTGCCTCGACTTCCTTCTGATCCTGTCTCCTTACACGTCCTCTATCTCCACTTCCTTCTAATCTTCTCTCCAGCCATGCCATCTTTTTCCGCTAACTTTTTATCCTCTCTTCATCTCCTCTTTTTCAACCTCCTTCAGTCCTCTGTCCTTTCATATCCTCTACTCCAATTCATTCTAATTCTAACTGCTGTCATCTCCTAGTCTTCCACTTCATTCTAATCCTCTGCCTTTTCATCTCTTCTTCTTCCACTTAAATCTGACCCGCCCTCCTGTCATCCTGTCTACCACTATCTCTTCAGATTCTCCCTCCCTTCACCTCAACTTTGACTTCATCCTGTCTACCACTATCTCTTCAGATTCTCTGTCCCTTCACCTGAACTTTGACTTCATCCTGTCTACCACTATCTCTTCAGATTCTCTCTCCCTTCACCTCAACTTTGATTTCATCCTGTCTACCACTATCTCTTCAGATTCTCTCTCCCTTCACCTCAACTTTGACTTCATCCTGTCTACCACTATCTCTTCAGATTCTCTGTCCCTTCACCTCAACTTTGACTTCATCCTGTCTACCACTATCTCTTCAGATTCTCTGTCCCTTCACTTCAACTTTGACTTCATCCTGTCTACCACTATCTCTTCAGATTCTCTGTCCCTTCACCTCAACTTTGACTTCATCCTGTCTACCACTATCTCTTCACATTCTCTGTCCCTTCACCTCAACTTTGACTTCATCCTATCTACCACTATCTCTTCAGATTCTCTCTCCCTTCACCTCAACTTTGACTTCATCCTGTCTACCATTATCTCTTCAGATTCTCTCTCCCTTCACCTCAACTTTGACTTCCTCCTGTCTACCACTATCTCTTCAGATTCTCTCTCCCTTCACCTCAACTTTGACTAGCTCTATGGAACAAACAAAACATGTCATCAACAATCTGTTATATAACCACATTGAGTTGGCTTTTGTTCCTTCTTCATCCATAATCTTTTTTGGCTGATTTGTTCTCCTTATGTTCATTCAGTGTGATCCAAGTTTGAGTGGCTGTTCAAATGTTCTGTTTACTTACTGCTTGCTGCAATACTTTTCTACCGGCTATTTGTATTTACATTGAAATGGCTTGATTTCTTCTGTCACTCACAATACTGTTATTTAACAAGATGTCAGAGAGGACAAAAACAAAATATTAACAGTGAAAACTCCCTAATAAACTACGCTTTTCATCCCCCAATATCCATTGTAAGCTATTGAGGCCAGAGTGTCAAATTATGTTAGTTGTATTCCATGACTTGAGACTGATACCTCATCTGTGTATCTGTGTGCAGCGGATCCAACTGATCTGTCCAGAGGTATGCATATTCAGAAGAGATGTTTTTCTTTCTCCATTGTTGTAGTGGAATTATATTCGGAAAATTACTAGTTGTATCCCCTGCAAAGCTTCTTACTTCCCCTTGCATTTATAAATATTTATGCTTTGTTTATATCTTTATAGTATTTTTTTTAACATAGTTCTTACTCAGTCTTGCAGTTATTTATATATCTGCCAATATATGCTTTATTTATATCATTATACTAATTTATGTTTATAGTTCTTCTTCCCCTTGTATCTATGTTTCATTTATATCTTCATACTAGTTGCTATTTATATGCTTTTTATCTCTCTGTACCTACTGTTGGGAGTCTCCATGGTGAAGCAGATAGCCTGCAGATCCGAATGATGTGGGTTCGGGTTCTGATGGAGCCATACTTTTTTTTTTAATGACCTTGGCTCCCAGGTAGACCCAGCCTTCAGTGGATATCAGGTGCAGTCCTGGGAAGTAAAGGCTACCAGTGTGGTACTGACCACATCACCCACCGAGTGCCGATTGATTTATAAAATAAAAGGTCTAGCCCTGTGTGTCTAATACGTGTAAAGACATGTTTGTTTGTTTGTTTGTTTGTTTTAGTATCCAGAAGCCATGAGTTGTTAACCCTTAGGCACGGTATTATGGATATCGCAACCTTTCGGCCTTGATTCCATTGTAAATACCGTAAATCTGGGAGAAAATGTGGCTTTTCTGCCTACCCCCAGGATTGAACCAGGACCACAAGGAGTTCGTCACCCGCTCACCACGCAATCCGGTTTAGCCAACTAAGCTAGAGAGACGGGCGTATAAAAACATTAAGAAGGGTCTTATAGGTTTTTACTTACTCACCTGCTGTTGCAGTTTTTTTTATATCTGCCAATTTATGCCTAATTTTTATGCTTATGCTTTTTTATGTTTATATTTACTGTGCTTATATTTTATGTCGGTGTCTGTGGCTTAGGCGTTGCAAACGCGCTTCAAAATGTCAGGGTGCCGGGTTCGATCCCAGCTGCGGACGATTTGTCTTGCGTTGGTTGCAACAGTGGTACTGAGACCTGACCATTGAGAAAGCAGTGGCAAACTGGTTAGTTGTATATCCTTTCCAGGACGTTGCAGAACCAACCCCAGCAGCCCCTGGCTGTTGTGTGGTTTCTCTAGGCAAATTTACGTCCAGTAGTTTGCTATTGCTTTCTGGACGGTCGGCTTTCTTGATACCACTGTCGAAACCAACACAAGGCGCATGGCCCGCAGCTGGGATCGAACCCAGCATCCCGGCATCACGAAGCGTTCGCATTGACTTAGCCACAGAAGTGGCAAACTACTGAACGTAAAATATGTCTAGAAAACTGCAACAGCCAATAAAAATGCTGGGGTTGGTTCTTGCTATGTCCTGTGAAGGATACGCAACTAATTTGATCTTTATATTTACTGTCTGTCCTTGCATTTATCTTTATAGCTGTATTTATAATTTATATTCTCATACTTTTCCGTGTTTATGTATTTCATACCTGTTCTCTCCAATGTTTTTTTGTAATATGAACTTTGTCCAAAATAGTACATATTTTTTTTGTATAGGTCCCACCAAAGTCGTTGTTGGGGATGCTAAATATAATCTACTGGTTAAAGAGGGTTTCTGTAACCCATGCTTGGATTATCATCCAAATAGTGGCACTTTGTGTCACCGGGTGTTTATCGCTTGTTGTGCAGTCCTGGTGGGGTTAAAAGTCCGTCAGTCAGTGTTATATAATATATTTATTCTTCATTTATATTTTCATACTCATTTATATTTTCATACTCATTTATATTTTCATACTCATTTATATTTTCATACTCATTTATATTTTCATACTCATTTATATTTTCATACTCATTTATATTTTCATACTCATTTATATTTTCATACTCATTTATATTTTCATACTCATTTATATTTTCATACTCATTTATATTTTCATACTCATTTATATTTTCATACTCATTTATATTTTCATACTCATTTATATTTAGAATCCTTATGCATCCTTGAGGTTATTATTTTATCAGAATTTTTATACTTTATTTATATTTTCGTGCACTTCTTGTCCGGCTTCAGTTATTTATAAACAGTTATATTTATGATCGAACGCTTCGTAATGCCGGGGTGCCGGGTTCATTCCCAGCTGCAGGCCACGCGCCTTGCATTGGTTTCGACAGTATTATCAGGGGGATGACTGTCCAGAAAGCAATGGCAAACTACTGGATGTAAATTTGCCTAGAGAAACCACACAACAGCCAGGGGCAACGTCCTGTAAAGGATACGCAACTAACCTTAAATTAGCATATCAATTTATATCTTATATGTATAATTTTTGCCGTTTTTGCAGTTGTCAATGTAAATAGTTTGTTAAACATATTTATTAACTTTGATTAAATCTATGACTTTGACCTGACATCCAAAAAAATTTTTTTTATTTGTAGGCTTATTTGGTACTGAATTCATATTTTTGTGTATTTATACTGTTAAATGTTTTTTTGTTGTTGTTGCATTCATTTATATATTTATCATCTTTCTTCTGGCTAAATTTATGGCATTTACCTACTGTGCATGTACAACCTCTCCTCGACATACCACCGTGGCAATTTACAACCACAAGAAATTAGTAAATAAAAATAGTAAATAAAGAAAGATAACTACAATGGTAGGGTGAAAAATTTTCCCGGAACTGATGCTTATAATGCAGCAGAGTATAACTATATGTAAATAAATTGAATGAATTGTTTGTGTTTTATGTACAATTTGTATAACCAGTTTGAAGGAAAATGGTATTGAAAAATGTAAATTTGAGTTACAACTTACGATCTCTTGATCAGTACGGAAATTGAGGAGACCGTGTACACTGCCTCTTAATATATTTATGCTAATCATGTTCCGTATTTGCGATTATTTATATTTATGATTCCTGAAAGCTGTTCTTTTACTAAGTTACCTTGATTTATTTTTGACTTATTTTTGACATACTTTTCATAGTAGTTGCTTCTTCGTACGTGTTTTATTCTTGAAAGCAGCATCTCACCCAGCATTTTGAAACAGATCTTCCTCGTGTACTTTTGAACTCTGCACATGGTTCAGACATAGTTATAAAGTTTAAAATTTTTTTTTTTTTAAATATAAAGTGATTTGTATGGACTGTCCTTTTAGAATTCTGAAGAGATCCATGGCTGTTCGGATCTCCTACTTTGTAGCTTCACAAGCGCGCCGCCCTCTCAATAGCTCTAGAAGTGTAAAACGACTGATCAATATTTTCTGGTAGATTAATCAAACATCTTTTCTCTTTGTCGAAGTCATATCTCCATATACACGAGTCTGGACAAGGATACGGGTTATACTTATTACTGTCAACACTTTGGCAACATATTAGGGGGGGGGGGGGGGGGGGGCTGTGTGGTCTAGAGGCATGGCGTACGCCTTGAGTGCTGGAGGTCCCAGGTTCAAGCCCCGGTGTAGGCTGGGAATTTTTCACGTGGACTTTTAATAATTTCCCTTGGTATATGGGTAGTAATACCAGACGCCCTTGTATATTGTGGCGGACGTAAAAAAAAATTCAAAATTTTGAGTAAAAAATCTACCCAAAGTATTTAAGGATCCTTGTCTGGGCTACCGAGGTCGTGCACTGCGCTGAGATTCTTCGGATTCAGACTTGAGTTAAAAGTAGAACTGAGCATTTATGGGTTACTGCCCTTGTGCCATGATGTTGATCCACTGTTTAAACCCTAAACCTTGGCAACATGGATATGCATCTCACAATCCCTGAATAACATTGCCCCTGATCCATGCTGGACCTGTCATAATAACCAGCGGTGCTTTATTAATATCCTACCCCAAACAGGGGAAATCCACAGGTCACGGGACAGTCTAATACAGTGGGTGGTAGATAGGCTGCATGCAGTCGTGGGACCTAGGCTGTGGCAGTCCTGAGACCTAGGCTTCACTCTCTTGTGGAACGTAGGTGGGTTGGGTTTAGGGCCAGTTCTAGATGTTTTGGGGTTGTTAAAAACATCAGATTAGTTGTGTATCCTTTACAGGACGTTGCAGAACCAACCCCAACAGCCCCTGGCTGTTGTGTGGTTTTTCTAGGCTAATTGACATCCAGTACTTTGCCATTGCCTACTGGACGGTCGGCTTTGTTGATACCACTGTCGAAACCAACGCAAGGCCCAGGGCCTGCAGCTGGGATTGAACCTGGCATCCCGACATTACAAAGCGTTCGCATCGACTTAGCCACAGAGCCGACAAAAACATCAGAAAGCTGGGAAATCCAGTCTTACCACCCTCTTAAATGTTGGACTGTCCTGTGACGTCATCTGGGGGTAGGATATTAATAAAGCACCTACCCAGCTTATCAGCCAGATAATCTGCACCCTTCCTTGCCTCGAACACACTCACATGACCCAGCATGAAACAGAACCAGACCCCTTTCCACACCTCTGTGTGTATTTGAGAATATTCCACTGGTGAAATATTTGTATGTTCAGGAAAACCTCATTGTTGCTGTTTGCATTCACCGGCTGCAAACCTTGGCGGAAAGTCCAGTTTGTTTGTCCATTTCTGGACTTTGGCTTTGTTCCAGGACCTGGGTTTTGTGTGTGCATCTGTTTTACAGAGCTTGCTTATTTGTATGCAGACTGTTGGTTCCTTGCCTCTCTGACTTTTGAAAGAAGCCCCCATTTAGTTGACTCTTATGACATGCTTGCTGGGGAGGCAGTGGGTCTATTCTTATCTTCCCCACTAAGGGACTCTAGTACACACATAGGGAGTAAAACCTCATTAACATGAACTTTCTTTAGATGAACATTTCTTTAACGTGAACATAATTTTTATCCTAGCAGTAGTGCATTCTTATCAGTCCCCAGTTAGTACAAATGTTGTTGAAACTTCTTCCCCTCCTCCTGCTGCTGCTGCTGCTGCTTATCCTTCTTCTTCTTCGATCCTTCTGTCAGTAGCCTTGATGACAGCTGTCGTGCAGTCAAAATCTCCCTGTGTGGTGTACAGTTTTGTTTCGATTGAGGTTGAAACAGGCCAGGTGGGCTCTCTGCATTAACATGAACTCTTGATTTTTCTGTTCCTGGGAATTCATCTTAACAAGATTTTACTGTACTAATCAACACTCAAGTCAATGTCTTGCCAGCTTTTACTTCCACAAACATTTCCTGTCTGGTGTTCCATGGAACAGATCTAAGGGTTCCCTGTTGTCATTTATTCTATGCAATCACGCTTGGTCAATTAGGATGAGGAAGAGGATTAGTCCAAGATCACTGCAGAGGGGTCACCTCTATAACTGCTCTGTTGTTATAAGTAAATAAGTCGGATCTGTAAAACAGCTGTGTACGCAACACTCAGGTCTGGGGCAAGACTAAAGTCCAGAGGTGGACGAACAACCAGAACTGCCGGCTGGAGTTTACAGCCAGTGAACGCGAAGAAGAAGATTATGTACAGTTAAAGAAACCCCCATAAGTTTCCAAAGACTGATTGTGTAAACAGAAGGAGCCACACATTTTTGTAAAGAATTTGTCTGCTAATAGCATACTTCGATAATAGTGGTGTAACGGCATGGCTGAATGAGAAGAATGCTATTTTTAGTTGATATATTCACATTCTGACCTCACAAACATTGGCGCAGGCAGGAACACAGCCAATAGCATTAACTATACATTTTGTAAACGGGTCACTATCAACAACTCAGAAAAACTATATTTATTCAGAGGGTACTTCAACAACTGCTGTTATACAGAGGGTACTTTAACGACTGCTGTTATCCAGAGGGTACTTTAACGACTGCTGTTATCCAGAGGGTACTTTAACGACTGCTGTTATCCAGAGGGTACTTTAACGACTGCTGTTATCCAGAGGGTACTTTAACGACTGCTGTTATCCAGAGGGTACTTTAACGCCTGCTGTTATCCAGAGGGTACTTTAACGACTGCTGTTATCCAGAGGGTACTTTAACGACTGCTGTTATACAGAGGGTACTTTAACGACTGCTGTTATCCAGAGGGTACTTTAATGACTGCTGTTATCCAGAGGGTACTTTAACGACTGCTGTTATCCAGAGGGTACTTTAACGACTGCTGTTATCCAGAGGGTACTTTAACGACTGCTGTTATTCAAAAATAATGTTTCTTCTCGTGATTATCATTTGGGACACAGGTTCCCAAACCTCTTTAGTTGACAGCCCCATTTTAACTTAAAAATGCACTCAGCACTTCCTCTGCATTGAAATATCATTATCATCATGTACCATACTGATAAGCATAGGCAGCAGTGATTTGTCATCCTACACAATTGGCATGTCTTGGATCAGGTCATTGCTCTTGTCTCGCCTTGTCAGGCTGTCAAGATATTTGCCTCTTTGCTTTCTCCATGCTCATTTTCTGTCAGTCTTGCCAGTTGTCAGAGTTTCTGGTTCATTCCTTCAGTAACAGTAGAAATTTGCATTCTTCTTTCCATCCCCCACCCCCCCCCCCCCCCCCCCTTTCACATCTGCCTTTTTAAAAATTTATTATATAATAAACAAACAGACAGTGTATTGATTGGCTCTCATAGAAAAAAAAAGTAGAAATGTAGAAGGAAATAGAAAGGCAGAAGGACATCGGGTCACTTACAAGGGCCACTTATTTTTATTCGATGCCCCAAACTGCACCTGAGAACTGCTACCGCCTCCTGGATCATTCCGGTGCCCCCAAAATTTCAATAAGAAAGCTACAACCCTCCTGGACTGTCCCAGCATTCCCTAGGGTGCAGGAGCGCCCACTTTGAGAAACACTGGTGCAGGAGCGCCCACTTTGAGAAACACTGGTGCAACAATTCCTTCGTTCATTGAAGTCTGCCCCAAAGAAACTTGGACACTTACCAGCTTTCCTTCCTCTAGCACTTTCTAGCCTGTGGTGTCACTTAAATCCTGTGTCCATCCTAGTGTTTGTTGACCGGCCCAACCCAGACTGTCTGCTACCATCTTTCCAATCTACAGTGGCTCCTGTTATGGCCTAATTATTTCAGCTTCCTAGACAAGATGCTGGATGCTGTTTATAAGCCAGTTTTCCTTGATGCTCAGATCTTTGTTGGTGTTTCTATTCTTTGTGGTCGGTTTTGTGGATGGTATTCTAAAATACCAAAATACTGTGGTTAAACAGACGTGATGCAACCTCTCTGAGGACCTTAAAGAGTTAATGAAGACAAGCCTGGTTCATGTTGTTACAGTTTAAACTTTTGTTTCCTCCATCCATACTGGTTTTTTTCATTTTATCTTTCCATCCAGTCACACAGTACCCTCCACTGGAGCACCATATAAACGGGGTTTACGGGGGCTGTAAGTATCCGCTTGTAGTCTACATAGAGCGCACATACTCTACATTATAAAGTTAGTTAGTTAGTTTGTCACGTATTGCCCATCCAACCATTCAGTCCACAAGTGTCAGATCGCCATCCTCTTTCCCCCGAGTAAATCCTGTACTTGTAGCAGCTGACGACACCCATCCTGTGTTGGTTTGTTATTCATTTTTGACTTCCTGCATGGTGCTCTTATCTGGCCTACCCTTTTTCTTCTTCTTCGTCTTCACATTCACCGGCTGTAAACTCTGGCAGAAAGTTCTGAGTGTTTATCAACCTCTGAACTTTAGTCTTGTTCCAGAACCATCGTGTTGCGTGCATATCTGTTTCACAGGCTTTTTTGTATGCAGACTTTTTGTTCCTTGCCATTCAGGCAGAGTCACCGTGGCACAGCAGCTAGATGCTCGTGTGTGGATCAGAAGGTCGTTGGTTCGCTCCCTGGCAGAGCCTGGCTTTTTTTCAAAAATGAGCTTGACTCCCGGGTCGACCCAGCCTTGAGTGGGTACCTGGTGCAGTCCCAGAAATTAAAGGCAGCCGGCGTGATGCTGACCACATCACCCATCTTGTACCGATAAATCTGTAAAAATATAGGTCCAGCCCTATGTGCCCTAAAGGCATGGAAAAGGGTTCTTTACTTGACTTCTTACTTTCAGGCAGAAGTACTCGGACTTCGAAGGAAGCTCCCAATTAGTCAACTTCTGCTTTTTGTGAAGGCAGGGTCTATCTCGGCTTGCTGCATAAGGCAGACTGTCTGGATCTGCAGTTGATATGAAAATATGTTGAGAAATGGGAATTTGATTTACAGACTATTGGTCAGTACGGAACTCAGTCATACATCGAGGAGCCCTATGTTTTAAAGGCATTTACTTATAAATGGTCAAGTAAAGGACCCTTTTCCAAGCCTTTAGGCGTGTTGGGCATATAGGGCTAGACCTACTTTTTTTTATAGACCAGTCGGCACTTAGTGGGTGATGTGGTCAGCGTCACGCAGACCGCCTTTACTTTCCAGGACTGTACCTGGTACCAACTGAAGGCTGGGTCAGCTTGGGAGTCAAGGTAATTTTTGGGAGAAAAAAAAGTCCGGCTTCATTAAGACGCAAACCCATGACCTTCTGATCGGCAGGCGGGTGTCTAGCCGCCTAGGCCACGGTGATACCCACTTATAAATGTTGTTGAGCGTCCTTTTCAGGGCAGGGCAAACCGGACTACAGCATTTGTGTTTGTCGGGAGCCGACATGGTGTAGCAGCTAGATACTCACTTGTGTATCGGAAGGCTGTGAGTTCAGGTCCTGATAGAGCCGGACATGTTCCAGATATGACCTTGGCTCCCAGGTCGACCCCAACCTTCAGTGGGTACCAGGTGAAGTCCTGGGAAGTCAAGGTGACCGGGGTGATGCTGATCATATCACCCATCTTGTGCTGATTGGTCTATGAAATTATAGGTCTAGCCTTATGTGCCCAATATGCCTGAAGGCAGAGAAATTGGTCCTTTACTTTGTGTGTGTGTGTGTGTTTTATTACTGGGTAATCCTCAAGTACTGATATCAGTAGATGGAAGATGTATTAAAGAGGTTTAATAAAGAATTGCTCAAGTTCTCTGTGTGGGTTCTGGGGACCTTTCGCAGGGAAAAACAAGAATAGACCCACTGCCTACCCAAAAGCATGTCGTAAAAAAGTAAAAAGTAAGGACCCTTTTCCCTGTGATTAGGTGTAAAGGGCATATAGGGCTAGACCTAAATTTTTATGAAGCAATCGGCACAAGATGGATAATGTGGTCAGCATCGTGCTAGGTGCCTTTACTTCCCGGGACTGCACCTGGTACCCACTCAAGGCTGGGTCAACCTGGGAGCCAAGGTCATTTTTGAAACAAGTCCGGCTCCGCCAGGGAGTGAACCCAGGACCTTCGCAAGCATCGACGAATTTGGAGCTTGCTTCGAAGTCAGAGGGCATCTGCCTGAGAGCCAGTGAACTAACAGTCTGCACACAGTCAGATCTGTATAAGGGATGTGCATGCAACTCTCAGGTTCTGGAATAGGACTATAGTCCAGAAAGTGGGGAAAAGCCAGGACTTTGCACCGGAGTTTACAGCTGGTGAAGACAAAGAGGCATAGCTCAAGCAAAGGCAGCATTTCACAAAGGGGGGGGGGGGGGGTCGTTTTGGGGAGGGGGAGGGATCATTTTGGATATAAATCCTATCTTTACCAATTATTGAAACATTTGGTGGAACCTGTGGAGGTGTGGTTTTTTTTTTTTTTTTGGTCAACCTACAGAAAAGTAAAAATTCTTCTTTATCGTCTTCTGCCTTCTATCCTCCCATGGAGCATAGGCCCTCAACCAACTCACGCCAAGTTGTCCTTTGCTATTGCATGCAGCTTCCTCCATGTGATCCCCATTTTAGAGCACCTGTAATGGCTGCACCAGCTTGGTACAACCTGTAGTCTTGTGTGGCTAAGGAACACTGCATAAGTAGGCTAGTACTGAAAAAGCTCACAGTTACTGGTAAAGCAATATATTTAAACAAAAACTTGTCTTTATTTTAATATTAGTTTCAGTAAGATAATTGTTAATTCACAGTAACCCAACTTACTTTGCTAGTAACAGAGTATTCCACATAGTTACTTGCTTTTTAATAAATCTGCCCAGAATTAGTCAACTATAGAAACCATAGAAAATGTTTAATTGTAAGCTTTTCTGGCAAACTGATAGCGTTCTTCAAACGCCAGATTTTGCTGAGGCTAGATACCAAACTGTTGCTTTGTTGTTTTTATATTTTCTTTCTCTGGGCTGGCTAACTTAGATGCTTTTGGCTGTTTTTTTTTCTGATTATATCATCTTGAGGCAGTTTTGCTTTTGGCTGTTTTTTTTTTTTTTTTCTGTTTATATCATCTAGATGCATTTTTTTAAATGTATGTTATTATGTATGAATAATATTATGTATATTTAGTTGTGTGTGTAGTTTCTGTTGTATAGTTATATTGTTGTTATTTGTAGGTTTCAATCTGTGATCTAAAGCAGGGTGTAAGAAATGTCTGGCCCGCAGGGCATGTATAGCCTTTATAATTTTTGAGTCTAAAGGTTTTCCAGTGTGGGTTACAGGTGCCGGGGGGGGAGGGGGGGAGGGGGAGGAGGGGTGTGTCAGGTGGGATAGACGCACTGCTCCTTTGCATGTCCTTAAAAACAGGAGACTACTTAAGGATTAAATGTAAGCAGATGTGCTTGGCTAATAAGTGTAGATTGCACAACCTATCTGTAAACCACAATAAGAGTGCCAATAATCCTTTCAACATGAATGCAGAAGAAGAAGAAAAATGTTTCCCCGCCCCTCTCAAAGACAAATATTCCCCATATGGGTACCGGTACCCCCAGTATGGGGAAAACAAGAATGCCTCTCCCAGCAAGCATGTCATAAGAGTAGACTAATTAGGGGTTTTCTGCCAAGTTGGAGTGCATCTGCCTGAGATGCAAGGAACCAACAGTCTGCACACGCAAGATTTGTAGAACAGATGCGCATGCAACACTGAATTTCTGGGGAAAAGACTGGATGAACAACCAGAACTGTCTGCCCTAGTTTACAGCCAGTGAATATGAAGGAGGAGAAGAAGAAAGATAAGATGTCTGGGCACATCCTATCTTATGGACCAATGTAGATAATGAAATCTTCACATTTCAAATATGTGTTTATGAAAGCTCTGTTATAGCTCCATTGCATACATGTAAAAACTGATTCTACTTGTTGTTATTATTGTCATAAAATACTGACACAAACAATACCGTGCATATTTTGCTATTGGCACATCTCACTGTATACTCATTGACAAGACAACAGTAGCTTCTAACTCTAAATTATACAGTTTTAAATCCATGTTAATTAGTTGTTTCAGTTTAATAATATGATAGTGAGAGGATAAATGATGTAACCGAAACCTGCAGAAAGATGAACAAATCCATCAACCAAGCCATCCAAGAAGTGCAAGACAAATACAGAAAAACCACGACACTGGGCTACAACCTGGTATCAGTGAGACGACAGAACCACGACACTGGGCTACAACCTGGTATCAGTGAGACGACAAAACCATGACACTGTGCTACAACCTGGTATCAGTGAGACGACAAAACCACGACACTGGGCTACAACCTGATATCAGTGAGACGACAAAACCATGACACTGTGCTACAACCTGGTATCAGTGTGACGACAAAACCATGACACTGTGCTACAACCTGGTATCAGTGAGACGACAAAACCATGACACTGGGCTACAACCTGATATCAGTGAGACGACAAAACCATGACACTGTGCTACAACCTGGTATCAGTGAGACGACAAAACCACGACACTGAGCTACAACCTGGTATCAGTGAGACGACAAAACCACGACACTGGGCTACAACCTGGCATCAGTGTGACGACAAAACCACGACACTGGGTTACAACCTGGTATCAGTGAGACGACAAAACCACAACACTGGGCTACAACCTGGTATCAGTGAGACGACAAAACCACAACACTGGGCTACAACCTGGTATCAGTGAGACGACAAAACCACAACACTGGGCTACAACCTGGTATCAGTGAGACGACAAAACCACGACACTGGGCTACAACCTGGTATAAGTGAGATGACAAAACCATGACACTGGGCTACAACCTGGTATAAGTGAGATGACAAAACCACGACACTGGGCTACAACCTGGTATAAGTGAGATGACAAAACCATGACACTGGGCTACAACCTGGTATCAGTGAGACAACAAAACCATGACACTGGGCTACAACATGGTATCAGTGTGACGACAAAAGAAAAAAAAGAAGAAGAAGATAGTGAAAGAAATAAAATGAAAGTTAAATGAATTTGAGAACAAATGCCCAAGGAAACAGATGAAAACTGAACTGGATGAATTTGAGAAAAATGAAGAAACAAGAGAAATGTTTGGACAACCGCTTTATCAACAGTTGTAAAACAAAGAAGACGGCACGATAGTCTATCTGGCCTGTAACTGATGATGAATGAATTTAAAAAATAAAGAAGTAACGGACCCTCTTCCACGCATTTAGGTGTATAGGGCATATAGGGCTAGACCTATATTTTCATAGACCAATTAGTACAAGATGGGTAATGTGTTCAGCATCACGTCGGCCGTCTTTACTTCCCGAGACTGCACCCAGTACCCACTCAAGGCTGGGTCGACCTGGGAGCCGAGGTCATTTTTGAAAAAAGTCCGGTTTCTCCCCAGGGAGCCAACCCAGGACCTTCCGATCCGTGGTGAGCATCTAGCCGCTTCGCCACGACGACTCCCGTTGAATGAATAGTTCAGTGTATATTGTCAGGCACATTACTACGGAGTTACATCAACGACTAGCTAACTGCAAAACAGGAAGCTTTTCCAGTTAGTTAGTTAGTTAGTCTTTCCTCTTGTGTCAAGTGCAACACATAGGGCAGAGGTCATGACTCTCCATGCATGGCGGTTCGTTGCAATCCGTTGTAGGTCTTGGATGTTTGAGTGGCCCATGAGTGAGCCTTCCCTGATGATAGTTCTACGTAGGGTTTCCCTTGGTCTTCCACGAGATCTTTTCCCCTGTGGTGTCCAAATGAGGGCTTGGTAAGGAAGTCTTGATTTATCCATTCTAAGGGCGTGGCCGACATAGTTCCAGCTTTTCCAGTGAAGTAGACAAATCACATTGATCACCTCTCACCAACAGAAGTTTAAGATTAACTCTACTTCATCCCGCCGTGTTGTAGCAACAAAAGTCAAAAATAAGCCAAGATTGGGAAACCTTTTTTTTTAAATTTTATTTATCAGTATTATTAATTTTATATTATTATGATCATCATCATCATCATCATCATCATCATCATCATCATCATCATCATCATCATCATCAATATTCCCTGTAGGGATCCTGCATCTCATTCGTTTTTCTTTCTTTGGGGGGAGGGGGGGGGGGAGATAATGAGTCTTGTTACAGAACCTGAGTACATCTATTTTACAGGTCCGGCTTATATGTGTGCAGACTGTTGGTTCCTCGTCTCTCGGGCAGATGCACTCCGACTTTGAGGGGGGCATCCCTAGATAGTCAACTTTTAAGGCATATAGGGTGGCAGTGGATCTCTTCCCCCCCCCACCCCACCCCCCACCCCACCCCCCACCCCACCCCCCACCCCACCCCCATACTGGGGTCCAGGAACCCACATGTGGATATTGTTATCATCATCATCATCATTATTAATTATTATTGTTTTTATTATTATTAGTATTATGATTGTTATGTTAATGCATTAAGACATGTATCTGTACTGGAAATACCATCATCATATTTTATGGCATTTTTTGTTTTACAGTGACGATGCCCCTGTTCCCTTCGCCAGGCTCCGTCCATAGTTCTGTGAGAACTTACATCGACCCTCATACCTACGAAGATCCGAACCAGGCAGTCCGGGAATTTACCCGGGAGATTGATGCTTGTCATATCACTATAGAGTCTGTCATTGGAGGGGGTGAGTACTCCATTACATTTACACTCTTTTGTTTTTGTCATTTTCAAGTTGTTTATTTCTTCGACTCATCAGTATCATGTGCCATGCCAGAAAGCGAAGGCTGTTGTTTTTCACAATATCACTTGATAACGAGAATTACAGATCAGACGATTCTTAAACTGCAAGAGTGCAATGTTGCTCAGTCTAGGTTTTATCTGGGCTCACCAAAACTCTGTTCTTTCTTTCCTTGTTGTAAAACGTTAATATGAACACATCAGATGACAAACACGACCATCGGCAGGTATCGATTTTATTAGCCAATCCAACAGCTATACTGTCTGGTCACTGCCAGTTACAAATACTGCTTCAGAAACATCACAACTCGAATCTAGATGCAATTACCTTTCAGACTGTACATCTTGTAAATGCCGGCCACCCACACTTGCAGTTCCACACAGCAGTCTAGTAGAATCTTGCAGTCGTTTGACATCCGCTGACATTGACACCCGCTCACATCGACACCCGCTCACATCGACACCCGCTCACATCAACACCGCCATGTCTCTCAGCGTCCCAGACAATCTCCTACACTGGGTGTGAACTGGGTGGGAACTGGGTGTGCATGTGAACTCCTGTTCTGCAACAAGACTGAAGTTCAGAACTGGATGAACAGCCAAAGGTTTCTGCCTGAGCTTACAGCTGGTGAGACTGGTACCATTTTTGTTGGAACTCTGTGCTGGCTGCTGAAGATGAGGATGGAGCATGCATGTGAAACTCCTGTTCTGCAACAAGACTGAAGTTCAGAACTGGATGAACAGCCAAAGGTTTCTGCCTGAGCTTACAGCTGGTGAGACTGGTACCATTTTTGTTGGAACTCTGTGCTGGCTGCTGAAGATGAGGATGGAGCATGCATGTGAAACTCCTGTTCTGCAACAAGACTGAAGTTCAGAAGTGGATGAACAGCCAAAGGTTTCTGCCTGAGCTTACAGCTGGTGAGACTGGGACCATTTTTGTTGGAACTCTGTGCTGGCTGCTGAAGATGAGGATGGAGCATGCATGTGAAACTCCTGTTCTGCAACAAGACTGAAGTTCAGAACTGGATGAACAGCCAAAGGTTTCTGCCTGAGCTTACAGCTGGTGAGACTGGTACCATTTTTGTTGGAACTCTGTGCTGGCTGCTGAAGATGAGGATGGAGCATGCATGGGAATGCCCGAGTGCTATGATGTCAATTCTTGACTCAACTCAACTCAGGTTTCCCCCTACTAGCTCCGAAAATAGACTACCATCTGTATGTGGAAACTGCATTAACAGAGCGGTGTCAGAAGCAAAAATAACTTTGAAGCTTAACATTCTGCCATGCCAAGTCCTCCATTTTAGACCAGAAGTCCGATATCATAGTCCTTTGGTCTGACCTAATTATCCTCCATCCTCCGAGGCAGCGGCCATCTTGTGTCTCCATGCTAGTTGTACTCAATAGGAGTTGACGGGCGTATCTTTTTTCTTTGCCTCATAACTGGTTTCTACACGCTTGCCCTCGTTTTTTTACTCATTTCCAGCAGGCGGTTCATCGTCTTTCACTCCTGCCTCTCAACGTCTCTAAAACACAGCATATTTATTGTGTCTGCCATGTCCGTACTTTATCCTCCGGGAGTCACTGCAAACACAGCCAGCCAGTCTGTCAGCTCTTTCTATTTTCTAACACCTCTTACTGCTGAGAGGTTGATCAATGAACACATATGAAGTCTGACTGACTTGTCTGTCCCGCCTGTAGGTGAGTTTGGTGATGTCTGCAAAGGCAAGCTTAGGATGCCAGGACGGCTAGAGATGACCGTGGCCATTAAGACGTTGAAACCGGGAGCCACCGAGAAGAATCGGCTGGACTTCCTGACCGAGGCCAGCATCATGGGTCAGTTTGATGACCCTAACGTCATCTTCTTGGAGGGAGTGGTCACCAAAAGTACGTCACATGTTTTTTTTTTAAACTTTTATCAAGTTTGCTTTAAATTTGTCAAGTAAACGTTTTGTTTGTCTGGCTGTCTTTTACCTTCTCTTGTCCTGCCATTTTTTTAAATTCTTTTTTTGCTAATATTTATATTGTCTTTTTTTCTCATTATTTTCTAATTTTTTTTTTCCTGAAAATTGAGTGTGTCTTGTATTTTTATCACTGTCTTACGGTGTCTTGCTTTCTTTTCACTGTCTTGTCTCATCATCCTTTCTCATCACTTTCTTGTCTTCTCGTCATTATCTGTCTTGTCTTGTCATGCTTTTTCATCAATATGTGTCTTTTATTGTCAGGCTTTTTCATCAATATGTGTCCTGTATTGTCAAGCTTTTTCATCGTTTTTCATTGTGTCTTGAGTTTTTATCCATACTTTCTTGTCCTGATCATATCTTTTCTTACTTTTTCATCATTGTCTTGCTTTCTTTCATTGTCTTGCGGTCTTGTCATTGTGTTGCTTTCTTATCTTTTTCTTATCTCGTCTAGCTGTCTCATCGCTGTCTTGTCTAGCTGTCTTATCACTGTCTTGTCTAGCTGTCTCATCGCTGTCTTGTCTAGCTGTCTCATCATTGTCTTGTCTAGCTGTCTTATCACTGTCTTGTCTAGCTTTCTTATCACTGTCTTGTCTAGCTGTCTTATCACTTTCTTGTCTAGCTCTCTTATCAATTTCTTGTCTAGCTGTCTTATCACTGTCTTGTCTAGCTGTCTTAACACTGTCTTGTCTAGCTATCTCACTGCTGTCTTTTCTTGTCTTGTTTTCTGATAATTCCTGAACAATTGACATTTGAGTTTCCTGTGTATCATGTCAGCATTACGTATGTTATATCTTGACTAAAAGGAGCATAAATTGGATGTCTTCCACAGGCAACCCCATCATGATAGTCACAGAATACATGGCCAATGGTTCGTTAGATACATTTTTACGGGTAGGTAGCAGAAGATTGTATGTCTGAGTCTCTCTCTCTCTCTGTCTCTCTCTATCTATCTCTGTAATATATGTTTGTGTCTCTGTTTCTCTCTCTCTCTCTCTTTCTCTGTACACGTATATTTCTGTGTGTGCCTTTGTGTTTATGCTTCTGTTTCTCTTTATCTGTGTTAATATATATATATATATATATGTGTTTGTGTCTCCATATCTGTATGTGTGTATGTGTGTGTGTATCTCTGCATGTCTATGTCTTTGTGAGTATTTACATCTCTGTTTGTGTGTTTCTCTGTATAGTATATATCTGTTTCTCTCTCTCTTCCTCTCTCTCTCTCACTCTTCTCCCCCCCCCCCTCTGTGTATGTGTCTATCTCTCATTCTATGTGTATGCCTCTGTTTATCTTTGTCTCTTTCTCTGTTTCTATGTGTATGTCTATATGTATCTTTTGCTTCTCCCTCCCTCCCTCCCTCTGTGTATGTATCTATCTCTCATCATATATGTATGTCTCTGTGTTTGTTTCTATGTGTATGCCTCTGTTTGTGTTTCACTCCCTCTATCTTAATACCTCCCACTCTTCTTTTGCCCTCTTCTGTCCCTGTCTGTCTCCTCTCCTTGTCTTCTTCTCCGTCCACTCTCTCGTTCTCCTCTATCCCTGCTGTCTAAACACTTTGCATCCAATACATCACCATCTTTGAAACAACAGTTGTGTTGTACTTTTCAGAACAATGATGGTAAATTTACCATCATCCAGCTCGTTGGCATGATGAGGGGAGTTGCCTCGGGGATGAAATATCTCTCCGAGATGGGATTTGTACATAGAGTAAGTTTCTGTCTTTCAATGTTTTTCAGTATTTTTATGGGACTACCCACTCTTTGTAACATGATTGTCATGGTGGTGTGTTGGGAAATGAGCAGGCAGATAGACTGGCTAGTTCTGCACCATTTGGTGATGAATTGATGCTTGACAAACTAGATGCTGTGAGACATCTTTGGGAGCACGTGAACAGTGCGGAGGCACAAATAGGTTATTACGGTTTGAGGAGGATGGCGCTGCGAGGAGTTGCCAGGGGATCTAGCAGACGCTCAACACTCATGGAAAGGCCAGACGGATATACAATAAGACTGTTACTGGTGCCATTGCAATTGGAACTCTTCACTTACTGATCAAGATGGAGACTGTAATGTTGTGAATTCCTGGGGAAATCCCAGAGAGTTCCCCAGGGGGAGGACAAGGTCGGAGGACCAGTGATACAAGAGAAAAACTGAATAAGTGGGTCTCATGTACATTGCAGAGACAGAGCACTTGTCGGGGTGTCCTGAGTGCAATGATGTTGATTCTTAATTCAGCATTAAAACATGCAATATTTGTGTGAGTGTAACAACTACAAAGACAGTAGTTCACTACATAAACCCCATGTGGGTTCCTGGTCCCTGGGAAAAGGGGGGAGGGGATTGATCTACTGCCCTCAATGAGCCTGTCCTAAAATTCAGCAAATTAGGGGTATTACTTTCAAAGTCAGAGTGCATCTGCCTGCGAGGGCCAGGAATCAATCACCCAGCACGTAAATAATCCAAATCTGTAAAACGGATGTGCATGCAAAACTCCTGTTCTGCAACACAGTCAAAAGTCCAGAAGTGGACAAACAACCAGATTTTTCCACCGGAGTTTACCGCTGGTGAACACAAAGAAAAAGAAGAAGATGGTCACATAAACTAACCAACTTAAAGAGTATAGCGGCAGGTCACCTGGTTGATTACAAACAATAACAAAAGATAGAATGGCTTGCTGTGTTAGTTGAGAGACTGTGCTTCTGTGGGAACACAGGCCAGAGGCAGAAGATGTATTTCTTCTTCTGCTGTGAAGGACCTTTTTCCACGCATTGAGATGTATTAGGTATATAGGGCTAGACCTATATTTTATAGACCAAACGGCACTTGGTGGGTGATGTGCTCAGCATCACGCCGGCCGCCTTTACTTCCCAGGATGGTGTCCGCCTCGAGTGATAGAGGTTCTGGGTTCAATCCCCGGCAAGGACTGGGATTTTTTTACATTGACTTTGACTTCTAGTAATTCTCTGGGTAGTGAGACCGGACGCCTGTGTGTATTTGTCACAAACCTCTGGTATGACCTTGCCGGTCCGTGGCTCGCTAACTAGGCCTATGACAGACAGCCTAACCTACAACACACACTGAACCCGAACGCACACAGAGCACACACGACAATCTTTATTGGAAGTACAGGTAATACATAGACAGTTGACTTCCCGCCGTGTGGCCACCTATTGCCTGGACCCTCTGGCTGGACGGGCTTTACAATCGCCCCGTCCCCAGTACGTGCGACAGGCAATACTCTGGTGTACAAACCACAATCCGGCAGGATACGCTCTCTTCTATCGCCACGCTGACCCAATCAAACTGTCACAGTCTCTGTCTTAGTGCAGGGTCAGAGTGTCCAGGTTAGCCACTCTCTCACAGCACATATACATAAATCCTCTACACAAGAACTATCCTATCCTAACACAAAACTGTACATAAACTATCCAGTCACTAACAGAAATATATCCTAACTTTAATACTATAACATAAACTATCCAGTCACTAAACGTCCTCTCTTCCTGACCGACGCACACCGAATCTCCTTCTTCCTTCTACCTCGTGTCTCTTAACCCCGTTCACCAGCTCAGTCCCAGAAGCAGTCATCGTGTTACTAAAACACAGTTCAAGCTTTCTTGCTTTATCCTGAGCGCTGGTTTCGCCGTGCGATCACAGAACGGACTCGACCAGTGACGGCCCTGACCTCTGTGTCAACCCTGGGTGCACACCTTACGGTGTGGTACACTGACTGTACTTAATAGGGTTGTGACAGTATTGTTGCGCACATAAAAAAAATCACTTGGCTGTTGGAAATAGAAAAGAGTAGCCTAACGGCGCTGCCCGTGTAAAATTTGGAGTAAAAAATCTACAAAAAGTATTCAGGATCCTAGACAGTGCTTCAGAGCCTGTACATTGTGCTGAGTTGGAAGAAGAACGGAGCACTTATGGGTTACTAACCGTGTGCCATGATGTTGATCCCTTGTTCAAAACTCAAACCCTAACACTGCAGAGGGTCACTCCCCGCCAAATTGGGTCATGGAACCCACATGAGAGAAAATATATTTTTCAGCATGTATTGTCTCATACCATGATGAAGTTTACATGAATGTTTTCTTTATTATTTTTTTTCCACAGGATTTAGCAGCTCGTAATATATTAGTCAATGAAAACCTCGTATGCAAAGTCGCTGACTTTGGTCTTTCGCGAGAAATCGAGTCGGACACCACAGACGGTGCCTACACGACCACGGGGGGCAAGATTCCGGTGAGATGGACGGCCCCGGAAGCTATTGCGTTCCGCAAGTTTACATCCTCCTCTGATGTATGGAGTTATGGTGTTTTAATGTGGGAGATTGTTTCCTACGGGGAGAGGCCCTATTATAACTGGTCCAATCAGGACGTTATCAAGGCTGTGGAGAAAGGGTACAGGTTACCACCACCTATGGTAAGTGGGACATGTGATCTGTTTATCTTCTTCTTCTTTGTGTTCACCAGCTGTACACTCTGGCGTAAAGTTCTGGTTGTTCGTCCACTTCTGGACTGCAGTCATGCTCCAGAACCTGAGTGTTGCATGTGCATCAGTTTTACAGATCTGATTCAATTGAATGCAGACTGCTGGTTCCTTGCCTCTCAGGCAGATGCACTCCGACTTCAAAGGAAGCTCCCCAGTTAGTCGACTCTTACGACATGCTTTTGGGGAGGCAGTGGGTCTATTCTTGTTTTCCCCACAATAGGGCCCCGGAACCCACACGGGGGTGATCTGTTTATATAACATTCATCATCACCATGAACTTTATCATCATCATCTTTATCATCACCACCACCACCTTTATCATCACCACCACCACCTGTATCATCATCACCACCACCTTTATCATCATCACCACCACCTTCATCATCATCATCATCACCACCTTTATCATCATCACCACCACCTTTATCATCATCACCACCACATTTATCATCATCATCACCTTTATCATCATCATCATCACCTTTATCATCACCTTTATCATCACCTTTATCATCATCATCATCACCTTTATCATCATCATCACCACCTTTATCATCATCACCACCACCTTTATCATCACCATCACCACCACCTTTATCATCATCATCATCACCTTTATCATCATCATCATCACCTTTATCATCATCACCACCACCTTTATCATCATCACCACCACCTTCACCATCATCATCATCACCTTTATCATCATCACCACCACCTTTATCATCATCATCACCACCTTTATCATCATCATCATCATCACCTTTATCATCACCATCACTACCACCACCTTAATCATCATCATCATCACCTTTATCATCATCACCTTTATCATCACCACCACCACCTTTATCATCATCACTACAACCTTTATTATCATCACCACCACCTTTATCATCATCATCATCAATTTTATCATCACCACCACCACCTTTATCATCATCACCACCACCTTTATCATCATCACCACCACCTTTATCATCATCACCACCACCTTTATCATCATCATCATCAACTTTATCATCACCACCACCACCTTTATCATCACCACCACCACCTTTATCATCATCACCACCACCCTTATCATCATCACCATCACCTTTATCATCATCACCTTTATCATCATCACCACCACCTTTATCACCATCATCACCACCTTTATCATCATCACCACCACCTTTATCATCATCATCATCACCTTTATCATCACCACCACCACCTTTATCATCATCACCACCACCTTTATCATCATCATCATCACCTTTATCATCATCACCACCACCTTTATCATCATCACCACCACCTTTATCATCATCATCATCACCTTTATCATCATCACCACCACCTTTATCATCATCATCATCACCTTTATCATCATCATCATCATCACCTTTATCATTATCATCATCACCACCACCTTTATCATCATCATCACCACCATCACTTTTATCATCGTCATCATCATCACCACCATCTTCATTGTCATCAGCATCATCATTATCACCACCACCACTACCATATTTCCACCACGATCATTATCATCATTATCTTCATCGTTACCACCATCAGCATCGCCAACACCATTATCACAGTAATCACCATCATCATCACCATCATCACCACCACCTGCATCATCATTATTATCATCATCATCAAACCCTCAAGTTAAAAGAAAGACTCTTAATGAGGTTGCATCTGGCACTATCATTGTGGGAACTTTGCATTGACTGCTGAGATGGGGACAAAGCATGTGTGGGAATGTAGAATGTACCTAGTGCAGTGATATCAGTTCTTGATTCATTAAAATACTCACTCAGTCGTTCATCTATCAATCTGTTTTTTCATCCATTTATTGACTCATTCATCCACCCACCCATCAATTCGTTATTCACTACATCCATCCACCCAACTGTTCATCCATTGACACTTCTATCCATCTATTCACTGATCTGTTCATTCCATTCATCAGTTCATCCATTGATACTTCTATCCATTAATTCACACATCCGTCCGTTCATCAGTTCATCCATCTATTCCTTGACTAATTCATCCATCAATTCATCCATCTATGTATTCACTCATCTGTCCATCCATCTATCAGTTCATCCATCGATACTTCCATCCATTAATTCGCTCATCTGTCCATTCATCATTTCATCCATTGATTCATCCATGCATCCATTTATCCATTCCTGTGACAGGATTGCCCAGAAGCCATCCATCAGCTAATGTTAGACTGCTGGCAGAAAGAGAGGTCTCACAGGCCCAAGCTGGGGCAGATCGTCAAAACTCTGGACAAACTCATCCGAGCTCCAGAACTCCTCCGCAAACAAGCCAAGCCTAGGTGAGTGTCAGCGATGATTGGTGTCCGTTAGTCAGGTGCTGCATTTACAGTAGTTGTTGGCTACAAATGGCTGAATGCTGGGCTCTTATCTAAGAGAGAGCCAGATTTGAATCCTCTGTAAGGTTGTGGATTTTCGGTTTCTACAGGAGCAGAAATAAAGTAGATACTTGCGTAGTCCATGGTGAGAGCACTAGCTATGCGGCCCTGAATCCTAAGGCTCAGAGACCACGCCCTCACCTCCCCACCTACCTTTTTTTTTATCTGTACTGCTGGTTGGTGATTTGATGCATGACAAGGCAGATGTGGTCACATCCCTTTGGGAACAAGTAACGAAGTCCGAAGAGAAACTATTATGGGCTGGAGAGAATGATGCACCTGGGTGTGACCAGAGGGTTCGGACAGCACATTACGCTCAGAGGAAAGGCAAGATGGACATACAACCAAACTACGACTGGCACCATTTGTATTGGAACTCCAAGCTGGCTGCTGAAGATGTGGATGGAGTGCATATGGAAATGCCCCAAGTCATGTGATGTCAATCCTTAACTCAACTCATTTTTAATTTCTGAGATTCTCTTCATCGCACATTGGACATGACCATAAATGCACCCATCTCCTCCTGAGTATGTCTCCAAATGTTTTTAGGCTAACAACTCCTATTTTGTTTTGGCTGATGTAATGACGGGTGGCTCCCGCATGGCTTTCCTGTCTCGCAACTCCAAGTAGTACACCCAGGGTAAAATTGTCGTTTTTGTGAGGATTTTTCTTTCAGGAATATCCAAAAATAGAAAGTACAGGAACTTGGCTTTTTTATTTTTCTAAGTCATCGGGGTCAAAGGGCTCATATAACAACTGTGATAAAAGGAGAAACAGACGTGTGTACTGTCTTTGGACTGAATAGTGAACTACATTTCTTGTATCGGACTGTTTGTGTTGACACTTCTGAATGCTGCCTTGTGCATTTAGTGCACATGTATACTGTTGGATTTGCTAAGACTGCTGTCTGAGTCATTTATTTTTTTTTACAGAGGACAAGAATGGACATTCTCTGTATTGTGGTTTTTGTTGTCACAGGGAGAAGTGTGGGGTCAAACTATGGGGTCAAACTATGGGGTCAAACTATGAGATGACCTGTTAGCTGTGAAGTGGATTACCAGTAAATATGTGTCCTTGTCTTTTTCCTCTCCTTCTTCTTTGTCGCATTCCGCAACTTGCAACTCTGCGGAAAGTTCTGGCTGTTCATCCACTTCTGGACTTAAGTCTTGTTCCATAATTTGAGTTTTGCGTGCATATTAGTTTTACACATCTAGCTTATTTGCATGCAGACTTTTGGTTCTTCGCCTTTTAGGCAGTTGCACCCTGACTTCAAAAGAAACACCCCTGATTAGTCATAATTGGCCTACTTTTACAATGTGCTTGTTAGAGGAGCATTTGGTTTGTCCCCCCCCCCCCCCTCCCCCCCCAAATGGGGCCTCAGCACCCACACACGGGAAAGAAAAGTCATAAATGTGTATTGTCTAGGAATGAAATAGTCAACATTGATTTCCCATGTAGCTAAAGAGTTTATGACGAATTGATTTAAATCTTCCGCAGACCGCACAACTTCATTGACCCCAGTGCTCCGGACATGACCTCCTTGTCGAGTGTCGAGGACTGGCTGGTGTCAATCAAAATGGAAAGATACATGAGTTTGTTTCTCTCGGCGGGCCTTAGCACCATGGATCAGGTAAGAGATGATATCATCATCATCTTCATGTGCCCTGGCAACTGGCGTAGGTGCTCATGCGTCTCCATAGATCACGATCCCTGGTTGCCTGGAACAGCTCTCTTGATGAAATCCCTCCATGCCATCGTTTCAGCCCATCTAGCATCATCTCTCTTGGTCTGCCTCTATCTCCTTTTTTTACTGATCTTTCCAGTTGTCACGATGTTCTCCAATGTCTCTCTTCTCATTATGTGGCCAAAGAACAGTGTTTGTCTCTTTCTTATTGTTGTATATAGAGATCTACTTTCATTAGCTTCTTTCAAGCAATCGTTGTTAGTTACTCTGGCTGTCCAAGGTATTTGTACATTCGTCTCAGAAACCACATCTCTGTTGCTTCCAAATTCTTCTTCATTGATATATATAAATGATACATATAAAACAGCTGGTATGGGTTTTGGATTTTTTTTTTCAACTTACAAGGTCATTTAATTAGGTGAATTACTGCCATTTGTGATGGAGACTGACTTTTTTAGAACATAACCTTAGCACCATGTCGACCCAGTCTCAAATGGCTACCAGTTAAAGTATTGGGAAGTAAAGATGGCCGGCATGATGCTGACCACATCTCTCACCAGGTGCCGATTGGTCCAATATACCCAGTACACCTAAAGTTACTTACTTTTTCCTTACTGCCATTTTTGGTATACTCAGTTTATTTAAAAAAATTGCACACAAAAATCTTTTCGACAAAATTCCCCTAGATTTATTGCAGTTCATCATCATCGTCATGTATCATGCCGATAAGTGTAGTTTGTCATGTTCCGCCATCTCACATAATCACCAGAATCATGGATCATGCCTGTGTTATTGTCTCATCCTATTCATGTGGCCAGGTTTTTATTTCTTTACCTTTTTGTGGCTCCTTTTCTATAAGTCTTGCCAGTTGTCATAAAGTTTTCGAGTCTCCACATTCTCTCGTCTATTCTTCTGGGGTTTCATAGGGAAAGCCAATTGAAAATCTGTAATGCAGGACAGCCTGGCATATGATACCTCAACATCTAACATGAGAATGGAGGTGGAGGCGGTCACTGCAGCTTGACGGTGGCTAGAAAACAAGACACATTCACATGTTGTAATTGTAACAGACTCTGAAAGCATGCTGAAAAGGTGAAAGGATTGCTTCAAGCAGAGTGGCAAGCTTCAGTTGCAAGATCATGGGTAGTGAGCATACTTTAGATCTTTTCTCCAGGCCATGCCTGCGTTGTGGGGAATGAACAGGCAAACACACTGGCTGAGTTTGCACTGCTGGGTGGTGAACTGATACATGACAAGGCAGATGTGGTCAGAGCCCTTTGGGAACAAGTAGTGAAGGTACTAGACTAATTAGGGCTGGAGAGAATGATGCACCTGGGTGTGACTAAAAGGGTTTGGCCGGCATTCTACGCTCAGAGGAAAGGCAAGACGGACATGCAACCAGACTACAACCTGAAGTATTGGAACTCTGGGCTGGCTGCTGAGGATGGGGACAAATCGCGTATGGGAATGCCCGGAGGGCTGTGAAATCATTCTTGACTCAGCTCAACTGAACTCTCATCTGTTCACAAATACTCTGAGCGAGAAACTCTTCCGAGTGTTGTGATGCCAGTATTGGTTGACTAATTCAGACCTCCTGAACATGGGACTTCCTCCTCCTCCTCCTTCTTCTTCTTTTTCTGCTTCTCCTCCTCCTACTTCTTCTTTTTCTGCTTCTCCTCCTCCTTCTTCTTCTTTTTCTGCTTCTCCTCCTCCTCCTACTTCTTCTTTTTCTGCTTCTCCTCCTCCTTCTTCTTCTTTTTCTGCTTCTCCTCCTCCTTCTTCTTCTTTTTCTGCTTCTCCTCCTCCTACTTCTTCTTTTTCTGCTTCTCCTCCTCCTTCTTCTTCTTTTTCTGCTTCTCCTCCTCCTTCTTCTTTTTCTGCTTCTCCTCCTCCTTCTTCTTTTTCTGCTTCTCCTCCTCCTCCTACTTCTTCTTTTTCTGCTTCTCCTCCTCCTTCTTCTTCTTTTTCTGCTTCTCCTCCTCCTTCTTCTTCTTTTTCTGCTTCTCCTCCTCCTACTTCTTCTTTTTCTGCTTCTCCTCCTCCTACTTCTTCTTTTTCTGCTTCTCCTCCTCCTACTTCTTTTTTTTCTGCTTCTCCTCCTCCTACTTCTTCTTTTCTTTTTCTGCTTTCTTCTCCTCCTACTTTCTCTTCTTTTTTCTGCTTCTTCCTCTCTTCCTTCTTCTTCTTCTTCTGCTTCTCCTCCTCCTACTTCTTCTTTTTCTGCTTCTCCTCCTCCTTCTTCTTCTTTTTCTGCTTCTCCTCCTCCTACTTCTTCTTTTTCTGCTTCTCCTCCTCCTTCTTCTTCTTTTTCTGCTTCTCCTCCTCCTACTTCTTCTTTTTCTGCTGCTTCTCCTCCTCCTACTTCTTCTTTTTCTGCTTCTCCTTCTTCTTCTTCTTCTTCTTTTCTGCTTCTCCTCCTCCTTCTTCTTCTTTTTCTGCTTCTCCTCCTCTTCTTCTTCTTTTTCTGCTTCTCCTCCTCCTTCTTCTTCTTCTTCTTCTTCTCCTCCTCCTTCTTCTTCTTTCTGCTTCTCCTCCTTCTTCTTCTTCTTCTTCTTCTTCTTCTCCTCCTCCTTCTTCTTCTTCTTCTTCTTCTCCTCCTCCTTCTTCTTCTTTTTCTTCTTCTCCTTCTTCCTTCTTCTTCTTCTTTTTCTTCTTCTCCTCCTCCTTCTTCTTCTTTTTCTGCTTCTCCTCCTCCTTCTTCTTCTTTTTCTGCTTCTCTCCTCCTTCTTCTTCTTTTTCTGCTTCTCTCCTCCTCCTACTTCTTCTTTTTCTGCTTCTCCTCCTCTTCTTCTTCTTCTTCTTCTTCTTCTCCTCCTCCTTCTTCTTTTTCTGCTTCTCCTCCTCCTTCTTCTTTTTCTGCTTCTCCTCCTCCTCCTACTTCTTCTTTTTCTGCTTCTCTCCTCCTTCTTCTTCTTTTTCTTTTCTGCTTCTCCTCCTCCTTCTTCTTCTTTTTCTGCTTCTCCTCCTCCTACTTCTTCTTTTTCTGCTTCTCCTCCTCCTACTTCTTCTTTTTCTGCTTCTCCTCCTCCTACTTCTTCTTTTTCTGCTTCTCCTCCTCCTACTTCTTCTTTTTCTGCTTCTCCTCCTCCTACTTCTTCTTTTTCTGCTTCTCCTCCTCCTTCTTCTTCTTTTTCTGCTTCTCCTCCTCCTACTTCTTCTTTTTCTGCTTCTCCTCCTCCTACTTCTTCTTTTTCTGCTTCTCCTCCTCCTTCTTCTTCTTTTTCTGCTTCTCCTCCTCCTTCTTCTTCTTTTTCTGCTTCTCCTCCTCCTCCTACTTCTTCTTCTTCTGCTCCTCCTCCTCATCCATCTTCTTCTGCTTCTTGAGTGTTGTGACACCATTATTAGTTGACAAATTCTAACAGATTGGGGTTTTTGTGTGTCCACAGGTGCGGCACTTAACAGTCCGCGATCTCTTGAACATGGGGATCAGTCTCGTCGGACACCAGAAGAAAATCATGAACAGCATACAGACATTCCGAGCTCAAACAGGAGACAGTATACAGCAACACATGAGCCAGGCAGCCTTGGTGTAGCACTGGTGGACTGGGGGGTGGGTGGCTGATTGTGTGGGTTTGGATCTACACCCTGGTGTGGCTGATACGGGTGGCAGCATACACATCGCAGTATTGATGTGTGGGGTGTAAATGTGTGGGTTTCTAGGGTAAATAGTCTTGAGCCACTGGACAGATAAGTGATGTTTTAAATCTACTTCACTGGACCCAGCGGTTGCCAAGTTGTCCTACTATCATATGTCGAACTATGTGGCCAGACTAGAACTGGCATGGCTGAATGCAGGAGAATGTTCGGCCGCTACATGCTCTATCAGTGTAAATCAGTACTCTTGTTTATGAGCCTATTTCCAAATCATGACTCATGGGTATAATAGTGTTCTGCATAATTTATGCTGGTTCTAGACGCTGACGATGATGAGAGAATCTGGGGCCAGCCTGCATTCCCAGTGACATATCTCGGGTAGTGTGCAGCCTCTCTTATCATATCAGAAGATTCCCATAGCTATTTCTGGTGATGTACTTATAAGTGACTCTCAGAAGAAAGGATGTCTTCAGTTCTGAGAATTTGCACAGAAAGAATTTTGTTTTATTTGGTTCTGAGCTTGGATTCAAGATTGTGTCCAGCAGATTGCGTCCAAACTGCTGCAGGGCAGTGCACCACAGGTACCTGTAGATATAGGGGAAACAACAGAGCTAGAGGTCCACCGTGCAAGCAGTGGATAGATGGAATATACAAGGCAGTGGGTGCCTGTCTCTTTACAGCATACTCCAAGGCTTGCACCAGATACCTGTTCAGAACCTGAAGCTGTAAGACACAACAAAGAACCAAGACAATGGTCTTCACTCTACATGGGTAGCTCCTTAAGGACTTTGGTCTTCTACAAATCCTTGATGGAGAAACCCCAAAAACAACAATGGTGACTCAATTGTGGTGAACTTGTAAATGACTTTCAATGGAAATGATGTCTTTGTTTCCCGAAGATTACGTCTTCAGTTCCGAAAAATTGTGCCCAAGAACAATTTTGTTTTATTATTCAGCCTTTGCTATGCATGGCTTAGCCCAGAAATGTTTTGACACAGTCATGATGGACTTATGAAAGACACTGAACTAAAACAGTTCCAAGAATTTGCACAGAAATTATTTTGTTTCATTTACCCCTTCTGCTTCTGAAATGCTAGAAATAAGTGGGTCATATCCCCATTATAATTCCATTAAAATCCTAAACTAAACAATTTCACACAGGTCACTAATATGCTCATTAAAAATGTATTTACCTACATTTTGTTTGTTTTAGTATCCAGAAGCCATGAGTTGTTAACCCTTAGGCTCGGTATTATGGATATCGCAACCTTTCGGCCTTGATTCCATTTTAAATACCGTAAATCTGGGAGAAAATGTGGCTTTCCTGCCTACCCCCGGGATTGAACCCGGACCACAAGGAGTTCGTCACCCGGTCTCCGCGCAATCCGGTTTAGCCAACTATGCTAGAGAGCCGGGCTTACCTACATTTAAAAACAAAACAAAAATTTGTTTTTAAATATATAAAGATGTAGGGAGTCGCCGTGGTGGAGCGTCTAGGCACTCGCTATGGATCTAGAGGTTGTGGGTTTGCACCCTGGCGGAACCGGACTTTTTTTTTCAAAAATGACCTTTGCTCCCAGGTTGACCCAGCCTTGAGTGGGTACCGGGTGCAGTCCCGGGAAGTAAAGGCGGCCGGCCGGATGCTGACCACATCATCCATCTAGTGTCAATTGGTTTTATCAAATATAGGTCTAGCCCTATATGCCCTATACGCCTAAAGGCCTGGAAAAGGGTCCTTACTTTTGATATATAAGAAGATTATAAAGGGAATATCTGCAACATTGAGCTAGGTGAAATATTAAATGGAATACATTCCCTGGGGCTTTAAAGAAACAAAAGTGTTCATCGGGAAAATCATGTTGTGACCTCTATCATCGAGGCTTAGGGGGAAATTTATGTCAGCTTGGATTTTAAAAAAAAGCTATTTGGCTCTGTGGAAGATCCTCTAATGCTATTTTTGGTTAATGTATTCAAATCCAGACCTTGTAAGTGTTTGCACAGACTCAGAAACAGCCAGTAGCATTAACTGCATGTCTCTTAAACAGGTCGTTGTAGGCAAGTCAGGAAAGTGACATTTATGGGGACTTGTACCCAGCCTGGAGTGTCAGTTTTGCAGCTTCTCAAGTTGATAGGTTAATCAGAGATTGTTGAAGAAGAAGAAAATGGTGACAAACTTGTAAATGACTCTCAACATAAATTATGTTTCAAGTTCCCCCAGAAAAATTACAACACAAATTACAGTTTGCACAAAAATAATTTGTCTCGTTTGGTTCTATGGTTTTCTTGCTGTGTCTGTTCTGGAGGTCCAGTTTTGGGGAAAACTAAGAATTGACCCACCACTATTTTCCTTACATGTTGTGATAGATGACTATTTAAGAGTTTGTTAACATTGGGTGTGTTGGGTAGACAGCTACCTATAACACTGCCTAGCTGCACATCATCATCATCATGTAGCAGGTCCTTTGCAGAACGTCGCTCTCATCACAGTCTGCCTGAAAGAAACTCGGTCTCTCGCCAGTTCTCCTGCCTCATGAACTTTCATACTCAAGGAGTCAGTGACAAAAGATGTTAGAGATGATGATGGATGGGCTGAAGCGATGGAGGGATATCATCAAGAGAGCTGTTCCAGTCAACCAGGGATTGTGAGCTGTGGAGATGCATGAGCGCCTACGTCAGTTGGCAGGGCACATGATGATGATGAGTGAACCCTAGGTCATCCTGGTTCCCTGGTTCTTGGCCTCCCATGTGACTGATCCACTCGACTCACGTTTGTAAGGCCTGGGTTTCAAGATCAGGACGTATTGTCTGGTTATGAACTTGTTTTTTCTTGTCACTTGGACCACCTTTCTTAACTCTTTGAGTCCCTGGGGGTTTTGCATCACAGGCCCAGGGGGTAGTCAAGAGAGTCATAAAATTGGTGCATCTTGCGTTTATTGGGCTTCTAGGTAGGAACCTTTGAACATATGATGCCTTGCTTGGGACTCAAAGAGTTAAATACCTCATTTCTGAGGCCTGAAGCTGGCTTCTGTGAGCTGTTGTCATTACCTGTGACTAACATTGGTAGATCAGAACCAGCACATAGGTAGCAATAAACTTAACTCTTTAAGTACCAGAACAAGCTTTCGTATGAGATGCCATTAAAGAAGTGTCTGTGATTTAACTCTTTGAGTCCCAAGGAACGCATCATACGTTTACAGGTTTCTACCTAGACGCCCAATGAACGTATGATGCGCCGATTTTATGTCTCCATCCACTACGCCTTGGGCCTGTGATGCTAAACCCCCTGGGACTCAAAGAGTTAAATTCATCAATAAATTACTTTCAAAGTGGTAATAGGACAGTACTAGTTGTCATTGGACAAGTCAGATTTCCTGAGTGAGTTCTGACCAAATACAAAAGCAAGAGAGCATATTTATCTAAGGAGGTAAAAATGATGATTCACATGTCATGCGTTGTTTGCGACTCAGAGAGTTAAGTGTATTGATTAAACGAGTGAAGTGTGTTTATCATACATCATATGAAATGTGTATTTTTAACACAGTTCCATCCATGCAAATGGGATTGCTCCTAAATGATGTGTTGTTTCTACGACACGAAATTGTGATTCTGTGCTCTATGTACTATGCATTTTTTGTCAAGGGTTATTGCTAAAAGAACGTTTTTTTTACATTTTTTTAAATGTGCTTTTATGATTTTTGTTTTGTTTTTGTGTGAGCGTGTATGAATTTTCAGGCCAGCGTATCCAGTTTCAGCTAATCCCTAATTAGTCGCCTTTTATGATATGTTTGTCATTTGGTAGTGGGTCACTTCTCTCTCCCCCCCCCCCCCCCCGACCCCCCAAGCTGGTGTTCTGGGACCCGTATGGGATCCACCACATATGTAATAACAAAACAACAAACTAAATAACGAACGATTTGGAATGCTAAGACAGGAAATGGTATCACTAGAAGAATCAGTGAATGATATGATAGATTATATATCGAAGATAAATTTTCGAAAAAACGAAAGAAAAGGGAACTACTGCTATTCGTTTGAGAAGCCTTAAACTTTAAGTTCGGAACTGGTAGCAGCTCAGAAGTAGAAGAAGTCAAAAGAAACTAAAGCTTGTTATCGAATAACCAAGTTAAGATAAAACATGTAGTAGAAAAGACACTCACAGTATTAAAGAAATTTATTGTGCTATTTAAATATCCTGAAGGGTTCCCGTTGAAATGAATCTCTGTGCACTACAGTGAGGGGCAAAAGTTTCGGACCGCCAAATTAATAATTGATTATTCATACATTACAGTTTTGCATCAACTTCTGTTCTGTGGCAGAATAATAGCTGTAATGATTGCCTTAGTACATTGGCTCTCAATAATTTATTATTGATACATTATGGAGTTTTGCATTAACTTCTGTTTGTGTCAGATTGATAGCTGTAATGATTGCCTTAGTACATTGTCTGTCAACCTCCTTAATGCCACGACCCTTTAATACAGTCTCCTCATGTTGTGGCCACCCGTTAAACAATTATTTTCCTTCATAACTTCAATGAATATGTGTTTTTCGATGGTCTTAGGCGACCCCTGTGAAAACGTCGTTCGACCCAGAAAAAGGTTGTGACCGGCACGTTAAGAACTGCTGTCTTAGTGGGTCCTAAAAGAGTGGATGCCAAACTCTGCAACAGTATGCGAAATCATTTATTTACAAGGTGGTCTAAAACTGTTGGCCACATCCGCATAGTCAAGGTCTTCTAGAAATGAGCAAGTTTGAGCAAAGCCTCATAACATTGAGCTAGCAATCTGATTCTAAAACAAAGGAGGTTTCCAATGGCGACTTGTCGGGCCGTCGATCAAGAGTCTTAAGCCAAGCTAGAAGGAAACACGTCCTGCCATCTTGACCAAAACCGGAAACTGATGATGTGATTGTGAATAATTAGCAACCAAATAAGGGGACG